TGCTGCCGCCGCGGCTGCGGCGAAGAAGACGTTTGACGTCAATCAGGTCTCTCAGGAGCTTGAGCAGCAGTTCAAGGCTGGTATTCACCAGAAATTTGAGACGGGTGGTCAGCGTCGTGGTTTGGGTGCTTGAGGTGGGCCATCGACGATGACGTTCAGGAGTCTAATGAGTAAATTGTTTGGAGCTGCAGCAGGTGTTGCCATCTGTGATCGTACTTGGAACTGGCAAAAACGGGAGAAATAGTCACTGAATACCCTTGTGCAGTAGTTGTTAGTTTGCCAAAACTTCGGATTCAGAAGTTCAACCAAATTGCCCTTTCATTCCTCGACGAAGTAGAGAATAGGATAACAATGCCCTTTGTTCTGCGTTTTTGTGACCTCAAAATCAGATCCCCGGTTCCTTTTTCGTTTGCCCGTGTTATCCGTGGTATATAATGTGTGTGTGTGTGTGTTACAGGCGCTTTTCGCTCAAACCAAGCGCTAAAAAGATCTCCCTCTCCTGCCTTCTTCCTCCTCTTAGATGTCTCCTATTCCCACCTTACGCTCTCATGCGGGTGTTATGCTCTTATGGTTTTATCGGCTAACCCCGATCGGCTTCGGTGTGTTTGACTTCCTTGGCCCTCGACAACTCTTTTAATCCTCCGATCTGCTTTGAGCATCGTAGTCGTAGACAGCCTGTCTGGAATTCGGTGGCTTGGATACGATGGTGTTTCGTTCGGTGACGACGGTGGTACTCCGGTGCTTAGTTGAGGAACAGACGCGACAGAACCTCGAAGACGAGACCGCCGAAGACGATAAAGCCGAGGATAACTGGAAAAGTGAATTGACTGTTAGTTCAACCGGTCCGTATGTTTTGTGGCTAAGGAGGTGATGGTAGCAGTGCGTCTTACCGAGCCAGAACATGGAGATAGGAGACTTGGGCGCCTTTTCTACGCGCTTCTTGATTTGGTCCTCCGACTTGCCACGACGGGCCTCCTGATCCTTCTGGAACTTGAGGTTCGCTCGCCTTTGCTGGGGTGTTTGCGCCTGGTTCGAGAAAGGGGGTTAGCAAGGTTGAAAGCCGATGCGCTGGAGCCTCATTGTCCGGGTCCGTAAAGATCCTCGTAGAAGAAACCGAAGGGTTGAAGAGAGACTATTCGTACCATTGTGTTGTGTAGTTGTGTGAAGGGATGGGAATGAACGTGCCGCGACTAGCTGGTGATGCTGGGCGTGGACAAAGCAGTCGGATAGTAATGCGTCTTGTTATGGAGTGGTATATAAGTTGACAGAGATGCGACGATGGTGGCTCGAGTAGTGATCGGTCCGTCGAATGGCAAAATACTAGGTTGATATTGAAGGGTTCGTTGCTGGTTGCTTAAGAAGTGGAAGGGGGAAGCTTCGTTAATTGATTACGAATTGGGGACAGATTGCCAATGGACTTTTGGAAACACGAAACGAAAGTGACCGACCTGCACCTTCCCATCCAGTTGGGGCAGATCTGGCCATGTGTCGTTGATAGCACTTGCCCCCAAACTGCCCTGTCCGTTCCCCTCAATGCCCCTGTCGAACACGCCTGGCGAGTGGGCCAGCATTCCGGCAACTGAAGGGATCCCTGCAGCGGACGATCCATCAAATTAGGGTGATTGCCGCTAACTGCCCGCTACGGTTTAGCGGCTTCCGGGTATGAACCGCCCGTTCGGAAGGGCGGGCGGGCACCGTCGCCCGCGATTTTCAACGACGCCGACGGAAGCTCCGAGGGGTTGTGGATATCGCCAATCCTGTGGTCCCTAGAATTATATGCTACCTGTCCATGTCCTTTGCATTTGACGAATTTCGAAGCCTCATAAACAACGACCTTGACTTGCTCTCACGCTTTGATTTCTACCAGCCCACGAATAACGACGTCATAGCGTATCTTGCGTTCAGTTTTCACCTTGAAGTGGATATACCCTCACATTCAGAAACGAAGTCAAGAACAAACACATCATCAAATTGACTACCCCTACCATCAACATCATGATCCCCAGGACAGCGGCCGGAAGTGCCCTTCGCACTCTCACCAGGGCTACCACTCAGACCACCAAGCCTTCGTCCAGGACATATCTCCAAGTTCAGTCGCTGAGGCAATACTCTTCTTCCTCAAACCCGCCCTCGCCAACGGTATGTCGCTTGCTGTTAAGCTTTCCGATAATCATCATCAGGATACATACTAACGCCAACACAACAACCAGGGCGTATTCTACAAAACCTTCACCCGCCCCGTAGCCAAGTGTCTACTTACCGCCCTCTTCGTCTACCAGGTCATCTACTGGGGATGGTCAAAGCTGGAGGTTGATGAGATCAAGGAGGAGCGCCAGGGTGAGTTTCCATCATTATAATCATCACCATCATCATGACCTATCCCTACCCTCCCATCCCTCTCATTCCTTCCTTCCTTTGCTTCCTTTCCGTTCACCACACATACATGTGTCTAAGTACCAGTTTTTTTATTACCGGTTTAGATTGAAGAAATGAGAAACGGGAGAACACTCACTCACACTTTATGAACCATCTCGCCAGCTGAGATAACCAAGCTTGAGGCTCAAGTACGGGCTCTGAAGTTGCAGAGGGAGAATGAAAAAGAGAAGGAGGCTGAGGCGGCGGCTGCTGTTGCTTTGAACACGGGAACATCCCCGTATTCTCAAAAGAAGAAGGGATGGGGGTGGTGGTGATGAGGATGGGATGAAGGAAGGTTTGGCGAGAAGTGGAACACACCCTTTTGGAGAGATTGAGAGCAGATGGATATTTTGACAGGCAATTCGAGGCCGAGTGCCTTGTGGAACGTTCTGATGGTTTCCTACCTCTCTGGTGTACGTGGACGTATCTTTGTGTGTCAAATATGAAACGCACTTGAGTACCAGGAGTGTATTGTACGGTTCGAGATACCACGGCCTCAATATCCTGGCCGAACGCCATGCCTTCTTCTATCATAATGTCCATGAACAGTTCCGGGATTTTTCTCTACATCGTAACCATTATTGTAATCTGTGACTTTACCCTCTGTTTGTCTCTCTGTATGTCTGTCCAACTCTGATGTACCGTAACGAAAAATAAGTGCACCAACAGTTTCCAAACGCTCTGTAACGCCGTATCCATGAAAACATCAAACGTGTGCATTCTTGTCAAAAGATCCTCCTTTTTCTACGTACTTCCGCGAAATTCGACGAAAGCGATCCAAACGCGCGCAACCAGATTATCAAGCAGCACAAGCGCCTCCAACACCAAAGCAAACCCTTCCGATACCGTCCTCTTTCGTGAAAAGAACCAGCAGCGCCACTAGCAAGCGAGCAACAGGCTCACTAACACTAGAACAGCAATGGTCAAAGCCACCGACACTGCATCCTTCGAGGAACCCGAGAAGATATGTGCCGAGCCTGGATAGTTACACACGACCTCGCCATTTGTTTCGTTCTTGACATAGTAGCTCGAATTGAACCCCTTCTGGCCAAAGAGCGGACAGCCAAAGCCCATGGACGACGGACAACTCTGAACCAGCCTGTAGCATAGGTAATCGCAAGGTAGGACCTCCTTATATGGGCCGGGCTTGATGAACTCGTCGATCCGTGAGCTGCGGCTCTCCATGAAGGCCTTACTTAACACCTTGCCGTCACCATACTTTTCTGCGTACCATGACATGGTGGCATTGTCGAGCGTCTCGCCATTGGGGAACGGCTGGCTCATAGCTCGCGGGTGCAAGTAGCTGGCATTGTTACTGAAGTCCTCGCAGCGGGGGATGGTCACGGAGCAGAGCCAGTCCTTGTACGCGGCGTCGCAGTCACTGCAGTTCCTGGTGAGCGAGTAACGCTGGGTCACAGGCGCCTCGCAAGGGATCTGAGCCAGAGCCTTCTTGAAGAAACCATATGCTTCGGCGGCATAGTCATCGTAGAACTTGGCCAGGACGGAGGCGTTGCCAAACTTTGGGTTGCTAGGGACCGAGTAGGCTACCTGATCACAAAAGGTGAGATTCAAAACAATGTTACAGTTCCCGTGATCTGGTTGTATTAGCTCCTGAGCGTTGGTCCCGACCTGGATGGATCCTGGATCCCGAGAAAAGAGCTTACCGGACTTGGTTTGGAAATTGGTGGCTTTGAAGACGTGGCCGCCGCTTCCAACGAGATTCGAACTGCCTGGGTTGGTCGCATTGGCCAGGATCCCGATATAGCTGGTGCTTGGCTTCAGGCCACTAAAAAAGAATTGCTGCTTAGGATAGTTGCCCTGTCCTCGCCTGGTCATGCCTGTCTGGACCATATTCGAATACTTCCCGTCCTTTGTGGTTGCAATCTGGGCATACTGTTCGAGGCCGCAAAAGGAATATTTGACACCGTTGATGGACGGATCCGACTTGTCCTGGGCGAACAGAACGTATGGCGGTGCTTCCATGTACTTCTGTTGCTCCCCCTCGTCGTTACTATCAGTCAAGTTATGAGTGATGAGCAATGCGCCCTGGGAGTCGCTATCAACCCAGATCAGATCAGCATCATCGTCCACGTTATAGCTGTAATAATAACCGTCCGTGGAGATGGCGATTTTCATGTTGTAAGGCCCGTCAAAGATTTCCGTCACGTTCGGCGCATGTACACTCACGTATATGTCGGACGTGGTGGTGAAGTTGTACATGATAGCCCCCTCCTTGAACACCATCGATACTTGAGAGCTCGAGTCCGCGTCCGGGCCTGGTTCGACGTTATCGGTCGACGTTGACACATACAGTGTGAGCTGCGGTGGAGGTTGTGTTGTCTTGGTCGCATTGAAAGCTTGAGGCTGCAGGCATGTGTTTGCAGAAATGAAGATTCGACGAGCACCTTGTTGTCGTTTCCATAGCTTCTGCTCCACGAAAGAAGAATTCGAGTCCGCGGGTTCTGTGTCCAGGCTCTCGTCATTCAAGTCATCCGAGTACTCGTCTTCCTCCTCCTGCTGCCGCTCCTCCTCTTTATCATCACCTTCTTCATCGTCTTCTTCTACTTCTTCCCACGTATGGTCTTCATCCCTTAGCTCCAATGACCCAACCTCCGGTTCCCGCTCGGACAGCTGTGACAGTTCGAATATGAAGCGCTCCGTAACCCCCTGTTCAACGTTCAACGGGAAAGCCTCATTGTTCTTTAGGACATTGCTGTCTCTAACTTGACGACGCCCGAGGATACTTTTATCGAAAGCGGCGAACTCGGGTTCGTACATCGGATCGAGCGGGCTTCCTAGGTCTGGGTCGAGACCTAGAGAAACATCAAGGTCGGAATCGACATCGTCTAATAGTATTATTGGCGGCGCATCTTGGAGCTCGGCCGCGAGAGCAAAGTTCGGGGAGAAAAGAGAGAAGTAGAGAGCGATTAAAAGGCATGATGCGATGAAGGAAGCCGCCAAGCGCGACTGTAAAGGACTGAGGTGCATCGCGAGCGCGCTCCCTCGAGAGGGGGCGCTGTTCGTGGGCGAGGATCTACCCCAACTTGTTGCCAGTCAGGTGGTCGATCGATAAATCGGTTGGCGCAAAGAAGGCCAAGGTGATGCCCGGGGGAAAATGCGACAACGGCTCCTTGATGTTCTCCGGTGTGAGGCTGCCCGTTGGTGTCGCTGGACGGGCCACTTCGATCGGGGCAGCACGGCTTCCTTGAGTTGCTGGCGCTGAGCCGTCGGATGTTCTAAGCCAGGCGAGTAGCGCGCACGCTGAATCCAAAATCGTGCTATTGTTCGATGCGCGTAGGAGATGGAATTCGATAATGTATCCTGAGGCCAGTCGAAATGCCAGGGGTCGTCGCCGTCGCCGTTGTCGTCGGATAAGTTCGATCAGGGTATTAGGTAGATGGATGAGACTTGAATTCGGAGGCGCCGATTCGTAGGGGCCAGGGCAGTGCAGCCTGTCTCTGACTTTTCCAGTCTGTTCCGTGCCAGGCCTGATATCCTATAAACGAGTGTTCGAGGTCAGCAATTGCCCCTTTGGTTAAAGTGAAAGTCTTCCCCCGGGTTTCAAGTTTCAAAACCCGTGGCCTCGAAACGAGCTGAAGCAAGGCGCACCCTTCAAAACGGAACACCAGTGGATGTTCTTGACGCTTCGGTAGAACGCTGTTGTAGTAACACCCGGGTTGGTGTTTTTTCAGGTGGCTACCACTGGAACTTTTGTTAGTGCCAAGTGCCTCCATCCGAGAGGGGCTCAGGGGCAACGTCTGCCGATCTCGTACCTGCTTAACAAACATGCAATTTGATGTCTGATTGATCCAATAGTGTTGTACCTTTTGCCTGTCACGCTAGTTTTGCTGGCAGGGGTCTCAAACAGCGGGAAGCCAGGAACGGCAACCATCCCGATGATGGCTTCCACGGGCGGTGGACTACCTCTAGTCGATCACAAAGAAGGACAATGACGTTGGCCTTCCACGGTCGTCATATGAAGAGAAGAGATGTTGCTCAGTTCGACGATAGGAAAACCAACGTAGCGCAAAAATGTCTTTCAGAGGTTGTCTAAATATCGGGAAAACCCCGTCCTGAGCTGTTCCAGCCAGAAGACTGTACATTGCAAGCATGTGATGTATCCTGTGCCTGCTTTGTATCTGTCTACGATGGTCAGGGCCTTTCATGTCGACCACATCTCAATGTCTCGGTGCTTCCCATTCAAATGCAATGCTCTATTACTATCACGTATTCAATCGTTAGATTCCAAAACCGTCCCTACTCGTCTAGACGCATCGGGTTTAATCATCATGTCACCAACATCTTCTATATCCACATGTCCTCCTTTACCACCACCCGTCTTCTACTTTTCCAGCTAACAAACTGTCCACATACCCCGGTTTTGTTGATGTTGTTGCACGCGTGTTAGATTGCCGACAAACCCCACGTAGAGGCTTGCCGGCCGTGCAGTTGTTGCCTGTGTCTTCTTGAGCCTCATTCAAAGCGGCACACTCTGAAACGAACTGGAGAGGCCCGGCAGTTGCCCGTGAGACGCTTAGTCGGTGTGGACGGCGTCAGCCTTGGCGCGGAGGCCGCTGGCGGTGGAGCCGTGCTGGAAGTAGCGGCCAAGGGTGGGGGCGAGGAAAGAGCGGAAGATGATCTCGGCGCCCCTGTTGACATGTGAGTTTCTCTTCCCGTGGTGTTGGTAGGAATTGGGAGGCCACTTACTTGAAGGTAGGGAGAGAGAGCCAGAGGAGGAAAACAAACTTGAAGGTGTAATAGAAGGGGAACCAGTAAACGACGCTGATCAAGCTCTCAATGACACTGTGACATATGGTTAGATATTAAGCGCACCCAAAAGACAGCAGACGCAAAGCCGGCAGAGATGCTTACGTGAAGAGAGAGAAAACAACCCAGTACTACAAATATGGTGGTTAGCGTGGAGACCAGAGGTAGGAACTTAATCAGACTGTCTTGACTTACAGTGAGCCACTGGGTATCATCCTGCTTGGTGGAAGTAAAGAGCGCATTGAGCGAGTAGTATCCGGGGAGGACAAAGCCAGCGAGGTTGGTGAGGAGCTGGCCTCCAAGGTTGAAGATGATGAGGAAGAAGTAGAGAGCAACGAGGCCGATGGTGGCATAGGCCTTGGGAACACCGGTGGTCTTCTCGAGGTTGTTGAGGGTAGGGTACTTGGACAGCTATTGAGGCCGGTTAGCTACGCAAAGCCCAACAACGCCGTCGCCGGCGTGTCTGCGTTCTGGCTGCGGTTTTACGAACCTCCTTATCGAGCTGGCCGATGTACTGCTGGGCGCGGTCCTGAGGGGAAGACATTTTGTGTGTTTGGTGCGGTAATCAGATCTATCGATCTAGAGCTAGCTGTGGTGTTTTGGTGTCAGCGAGATGCAAAGTCGAAGTTCAGGGGAAATCTGAGGCGGAACTGGCGGGGAAGCTGAAGCTGTGACAAAGTGGGTTGGGCAGCCGGGGGCTGGGCCCAAAACTCGCAGCGTGCTCGGCGAAACACACCACCAGCAGAGGGGAGGAGATGGGGAACTGAGAGAAAGCTGCTAACCTGGACTGCGAATGCGCCGAAACGATGCTGTGAAGGGCTATGTGTCCTGGGAACTTTTGCGGATAGGGGTGATGCTATCGTGGAAATGGCAGTCGGGTGTGGGAACGGGTTGAAGTGGGCTGTGGGCTGTGAGGCACAACAATGACGATTGATACGTGTGCAGACAAAAGGGGATCATCCTGTTCACAACCCGAAGCTTGCCCTGCCCGTGGGGCCGCAAAGCTTCTTCCCGTTATCATCTGCATCTGACTGGTTCCAGAACCAGTGACGCCACATCGGGAGCTGTTTCGCTAGGATTGGTGGACGAAGACCTGGTGAAACCGTCTAAATCCCACCTCATAGGTCTATCCCCTCGATGGTTCCCATCAGTCAATGATATGGTCCGATGGTGTAGTTGGTTATCACGTCAGTCTAACACACTGAAGGTCCCCAGATCGAGCCTGGGTCGGATCAGCATTAATGTTCTTTTTTTTCTTGTTCCTTTTTCACATTCTGCGACCTCTTCAGTTGACCTCCTGCATCTGTTTCAAGGCCTCTGTCCCTTCGCCTGTGATATTGTTGATTTATCTTCTTTTTCAAACATTCATGATTTTGCTCCAGTATTCTCCTAGCCTTGTCATCGATACTCACAAACAACTATCATTGGTGCCTGTTTACCGGCTTTTGTCAGGTTTATCTTGCCCAAATGCGCCGAACCTGTATCCGTCTATCTTCATTGTTCAGGAATATACAAAGAGTTCCCGTAGGCAGTAAGGGGGTGCACATTGCCTGAAGTTGCCTCTTCCGCTCTGCCCACTATCTTAACGCTTTGATATTTGGGACAGGAGATCATGACAACTTGTGGACGTTCTAAGTTGAGCTTCAGAACTCGTGACATGGACCAACATGAAGTCTTCCAAAGAGCCCCGCGATACCTCCAGCGTTTTCGTGCAGCTAGCTCCACATCACGTGGATGGATGTCGGCCATATGTACAGCATACTTCACATTAGCATGGAGAGGCGTAATCATCTGCGAGACGGCTTACACGAAAACTTTCTGTTTGATATTTCCAACGTCTCTATGACCGATATCATCGAGGAAGAGATTGATTTCCCCTCATTCTGCGAGCGGTCAGACGTGAACTAGCTTGCCAAGTCAATGCTGGTGCAGGCTTCAGTCAAGGGACTGAAGCAAATTATTTGGTCTTCGATGACGGTGATCCCATGGTGGGATAATAACTCGTCTAACGAGACACCCAGACTCCAAAATCTACGTACCTAGTGTAAGTCATGAGTGCCAGGGCAGCAAGTCGTAGTGGAACGTCATAGGGTACTGGCAGGCTGGATACTGTATCTAGCTCGGAAAAGGCACAGTGTGTCGATCAGGGACACATCTGTAGCCTAGGAATAAACAAAACAACAAGGAATTCGGTGGGAAAGAAATGCGCAGGTGTTCTGGTTCGTCAACTTTGAATTCCTCGAACAACAAAGGGAAAGTCAACAACACTCTCGAACGGGCAAACCGCCAATCAAACGGCATTCTGGTCCCAAGCGGGTCTGCATGGAACGTGCGGGGGAGCAGCTAGCTTGCCTTTGACTTGCAGTGGTTTTAAGTTCCCTGCCGCAGCCTCCAGTGGAACGTCGCTGCACGTTGCAGTCACGGCAGCCCGTCCGCAAGCCGCATTGCCCAGGTACGTCCCTAGCGCTTTCATGTTTGTTGATTCTTTCTGTTCTCCGCTCCCCATACAAACCACTAAAGAAAATGTGCAATTGACTCTTTACATGCAGCATCGACATCATCATTAAGTTTTCTTACTCGCGCATGCACGGCCCTGTTACTCGCGACACGTTCCGCGGTGTGCTCCCGACCCCATATCCGTTACCCTTATTATTAGCCTGGCCTGGCCGTGTTGGCATCCGCCAGGTTTGGAGTAGTCGCCGCCACCACCACCACCATTTATCCTTGTGTTTACTTGGGATATCCGAATACAGCAGAGCTATCAGTCTGCACGCCTCGCCCGCCGTACCATTACAAGACACGGGCGCTGATGGACTCAACCCACGGTATGCCCCTTTACGTCTGCTGGTCCCTTCTGTTCCCCCATCCACGACCTTGTCATCTACCTTTCTTGCCCTTGCCCTGGTCCCCTATGTACCCGGGCGCATACTTGTTACGCGACATACCATAGCGGTATGCTTACTGCTTGTACAGACCCTCTCGTCCTCACGAAGGCGAAGAAGCGGCCTCGCTCCCAAGACTCAGCAGCTTCCATCCACAGCGCCGCAACGCAACCAAATCTCGACCACGCGTTTACTGACGTACCCGAAGTTTACCAATCCCAATGGATTCCGAACGATCACGGTCGAACCCGAGAACTTGGCCACCCAACCTCCCAGATGACACAAGACGACATGGTGCTGGCCTCCCAGCTGCACACTAGCCGCGAGTTTGCCATGGATTCACAAGTCAACGTCTCGATGCAGAATGTCCAATATCATGGCAGCCACAGCATGAGCCGCCAGTCTTTGTCCGCCGATTCCTTTGCCGGAAACACCAGTTTTGTGGAGGACAGTCAGATGTTGGACCACGATGGCAACAACGATCATGGCCCATATGTTGGAATGTCGTCGCAGTCTAAGGGAGGATCGCGCTCGAGTGCGAACAACGAGGTGGAAATGCGTCAGCTATATATTGCCAACAGACACCGGGATCTTCAGGACGTTGCAGAGGAGCTTCATGGCAACGAGCGTGGTCCAAATTCAGAACGAACCCGCCAGGTTTTCGCAATGTTGTGGTACGTTGGTTTCTTGGGTATATTTTCGTCGAGACTGTGGGCTAACAATACGACAGGATCAGCCAAGTCTGTTCAAAGGGCAAAGGATCGGTACCTAGAGGGAGAGTTTACGCCAACTATGCCTCCAGGTGTGCCACTGAGAGGATAACGGTCTTGAATCCTGCCAGTTTCGGGAAGCTTGTCCGGGTTCTTTTCCCAGGGCTGAAAACACGTCGCCTTGGTGTTCGGGGAGAGTCCAAATATCATTACGTCAACTTTCAGCTCCGAGAAGATCAGCCTGATGTGCGAGATGTCTCGACTCAGCCTCAGGTTCCTCCAGAGGAGGAGCAGTCGTTCTCCCAAACTTTCAAGTGAGCAGCGACACCTTTGAACGCCTTTTATCCTTACTAATTCTGTAGTAGCACGGCACCGGACAATACAAAAACAACCGAACGCACAGTACTCCTCACCCCTGACCTGGGCCAGCAACCAGAGACCCGGGTGAGGCGGCCGCATGAATATGTTCACAGCCTGTACAACCAAGTCCAGGTAGCCAACATCGACCAGCTTAGCACGACGGTAACCAAGACAGTGCAGAAGCTTTGTTTTGCCGCGGAAACCGAGGAGACATTCCAACAGTCGGAGCCTCTCGTCCTTCCACGGATCGAACCCTTTCTACCAAAAAACACTGACCCAGACGCTGCCAAGTCACTGGCTGCGCTCTACAGGTCACACTGCACATCTCTGGTGGAATGCATTCGGTATTGTAAAGAGAAGACCTTTTTTCATCTTTACACCTCATTCCAGGGCACGCTCACGATGCCGGTCCAGAAGCTGTTCAGCAACCCGGCCTGTTGCACCTTGGATAGAGGAGTGCGACTTTGTCTTGTACCAGCGCATGATGCGCATTGTCTCGAGTCTGGTCCTCCAAGTTGTTCCTAAGACGGTGCTCGATACATTGCGGAACATTGCAGATAAGCTCGTCCCACACATCCGCGATTCTTTCCAGGGACAACCTCCTCACGTCCTCAAGGCCAAAGAGGCACCGGCAACCCTATTCGCAGGCTTACTGGATCGGGTGCTCCGTGTCAACCTCACCGCTCATGCTGCGGCCAACATGCTCTCAAACCCAGCAAACCGCGATCTCATGTACGTGGAATGGATAAACATAATCAATTTACGAAAGGTCGCCGAGAGTGTTCCGTCGAGGGGCATGGATGATGTCGTGAATCTGCTCCTCAAAGAGATGCGCGATCTCCTAGACCCGGTTAACATCCCATGGGAAATCGAAGGCCTGACACTACACGGAGAAATGGCGATGCGGAATGGTCGCCAACCACAGGCAGGAGACGCTGAGGAATCCACGGCCTCGAACGTTTTGGATCGCTGGGTGAGCTTTCTTCGCCACCTGCCATCACACTTCCCCTACGCTTCGCATACCGATATTGTCTGGTGTGTCCAACGATTAGGCACAGCCGTAATGAGGGATATTACACTTGGCCAAGGCAAGAGTTTCGGCTCTTGGTGGGTCACCAAATGTTTTATCGATGAGATGATACTCTTTTTGGCAGAATACGGCGGGTTTCTCAAGCAAAAGTCGACACATGAGTATACGCTCCTTGTCACACAGCAACAAGGCGCAAGCAACGAGGCAAGCAACGAGGCATCCAGATACAGGAGTAGTAGCGATGATTCCAGCGCGTCCCGCATGTCCGAGTCGCAGCCGGATCGGGCTCGATTCCCGGTGGCTGCATCGATGGCCACCCAGCCTTCTGTCCATGACGACAGCGGCATAGGTATTCGGACACCTGATGAAGATTCTCCAATTCAAAAGTTTGGCTTCCAAACGAGTACTGCGAGCTCGCAAGATATTTTTGCCGGCACGGGACTGCAGGATGAGGACCGTTTGGCAGACATTTGAGTCTGGTTGGCTCTACGAGGGGACAAGTTTCGGTTCTTTGATGTTTTATTAGAAGGGGGCTTTAGTTGGCGGTTATACCTTGATGGATCTCTTTCTCTTCTACTCTTTACATGACGATATGAAGTAACGAGGACAGAGGTCATGAACTGCTGGATTGCGCGGATAAGGCGTCATTATGAAAGGCACCATGACTACCTGCTGCTTATCGTCAAACATTTGGGTTTGGGTTTTTCGGTCGGGGAGTCAAGGCTATACCTGGGAGAGGAAGTGTTTTGTTTGGGACTCGGTGTGCATCTTCCAATGTTCATTGTATGGATATAGGGAAGGCCAAAGCGTTGGCTTTAACATCAAGGATTCAGATACGGACTCGGAAGGCGTTAACATGCAAGCATTTACGTGTGGAGGTGAGGTGGGCGGAACGGCGTCTCGATTACAACAGGCACAATGAGCATTGATTTTTGCATCGTACAGGATAGTTTGTTTTGTTTCTTCGTGTGTTTTGGTATATTTAGATGCGTTGGAATGAAGTCGATCCCTCAGTGTTCTCGGAGCAGCCCACCGATCACCGATTCAAGACGGCTTTAAACTGCCACGTTCGTTTGGTGTGGGTGAGCGGGCTTGGCGACTTGCACGTTTCTGAACATGCTCTTACACGGCACGTGAAGGCGTTACGGAAACACTACGTTTTGGGACGTGATCTTAATAAGAGACCCCTCTCGTCATTAAAAAGAAGGTCCTCCGCTTTTTAGCACCTTTCACATTCCTTGGACCATACATCTCGCATCTCATTGTCCGAATATCCCGACAGCTTTAACTTGTTCCTCTCTTGGCCGTCACTCTGCCAGTTGGTACTAACAACGACCCAAGTGTACATAATTCCTGAGTCGAATCAACCCCGAGGACGTCAAGGGACCCGGCGCGTTACGTTTACAGCAGAAGCAACACAAGATGGTAGTCGAAAAGGAAAGCACCTTCAAGGTTGCGGGAGCATCATTGTATGCGAAGTCATGGGAGGTACGTATCTCACATCTTTCAGCTTTGAGCTGCCTCATGGGACCTCTTACTTACACGATAAAAACGCCACAACAGCCCGAAGGACCAATCAAAGCGAAGCTCATCTTCGTCCATGGCTTCAGCGACCACATCAACCGCTACTACGGCTTCTTCCCTTCCCTCGCAGCGCGTGGCATCGCTGTTTACGGGTTTGACCAGCGCGGCTGGGGCCGCAGTGTCAAGAAGCCAGCCGACAGGGGCCTGACGGGACCAACATCGCGAGTAATCGCCGACATCGTCGCCTTCATCGAGCCGCACCTATCCGATGTCCCCGGCGCGCCGCCCGTCTTCGTCATGGGCCACTCCATGGGCGGCGGCCAAGTCCTCACGCTTGCCTGCGACGAACAATACCAGGACCGTATCGTCAGCCGCGTGCGCGGCTGGCTGCTCGAGAGCCCCTTCATCGGGTTTGCGCCCGAGCTCAAGCCGAATCTGCTTAAAGTGTACGGCGGCCGGCTCGCGGGCAAGCTCTTCCCGCATCGCCAGATGGTCAACCAGATCCCGCCCGAGGACCTGTCGCGCGACCCAGAGGTGCAGAAGAGCATCGCGGCGGATGAGCTGATGCACAACACGGGCACGCTGGAGGGACTGTCGGGCATGTTGGATCGCACGGATGGCTTGACGAGGGGAACGATTAGACCGCCTGGAGGAATAGAGAATGCGAAGATCAAGGCAATCTGGTTTGGTCATGGGAGCAGTGATAAGGCGACGGATTATAATGCTAGTAAGAGGTATTATGATCAGGTAATTACGGGCACGGTTAAGGATCGGATGTTTAATAGGTATGAGGGATGGTATCACCAGTTGCATGCTGATGGGCCCTGTAGCGAAGAGTTCTACAAGGATGTGGGCGACTGGATCTTGGAGAGGAGCGAGGTCTCAGATTCGGCGAAGTTTGAGGCCAAGATCTGAGATTGGCGAAAGAAGATGTTGTTTGAGTTGATGTTTCTTTTTGCCGGCTACATATCATCAGGTTTACCGAGTAATAAATCTTATGTTATATTCACTGTACAATTCATGATTGAGATGTCTTGTACGTAAGGTATAGATGTGATATGTATTTCGGTGGTGTGGAGGTGCTCTTGGCCTGCAAGATCGCATCTTTACTGCACCCCACCAGCCAGTTAATATCGGGATCGTCTCGGCTTGAAGATCTTGAAACAGGTCGTAAACTCTTCCGAATACCCCCGAGTTTAAGCTGGGCTTGTCGTTCAGCTCAAGCATTGGCCATATAAAGATATCTACACCAATTACCATTTGAACTTTCCCCTTTCGCCTCCCTTTTGTGACCTTTCGAAATTCGACCTGGCAGTTCGAGCGATCTGCCTTGAGCTGCCGTCCACTGCGGTGTGGGTTGTTGGCTCTTAACAATTACTCCCCTGACTCCTGAAGATGTCCCACCATAACTTCTTATCAGATCATCAGTCAAGATGACGACCCTCTTTTTCCAAACTCCAAGGCTCCAGATTTCCATCTCACTTTTCCATCCAACCGCGATATTGACAGGATTTGATCCTTCAGCATACGGATAACGAGCCCAAAGTATCGAATTGGTGAACCCGATATGGGAACACGATGACGCCGTACCACCTGTTCGACTGCCCCAAGGGGGTCACCAGAGTTTGTTAGGTCCGGCATCACCTCGATATTGCGTATTAGTTGGACCGGCCGGGGCAGCCCCGTTGCCCAGGCAAATCGCATGTCGATGCCCCTCGATTAACAATTCCCTCCTTATGCAGGGCAGCGCTAGTGGAAAACGGGAATGGGGTATTATGAAGAAGCAACGTGCGGAAATGGTAGGTTCAGGAGAGCCAACAACGTGATTCAACAGGCTGCCTCTGTTGGTTGTTGAGATCAATTAACATAGCCTTTGCCTCCTCATCTGTGAGGCTTCACAACCCAGCCTCCCGTCCTTTCAACGGCTTCCATTTGTTGGACATTCATTTGGTTGATCGGCCGGCGACTTTCCGAACTTTGTTACCACAGGCGAACAACTGGCGCTTCCCCGCTGAGCCCCCCAACGACACAGCGACTATCGATTGACCGCCGTCTCACCCATCCAACCTTCGAGGATTCAGCCCTTTATCCTATACTTAACCTCCTGTAACCTTTGCGATTCGTTGCCTTCGCCTGATCAATACTGCGCGTCCTGCATCTTCCTCCCACCAGCACCCCACGTACCAAACCTTCTTCGAGTTTAGCAAGAGACGCGATCCGGTCGAAACGGTATTTCCGGCACCATGGAGCCTGATCTCTCGCACAGCATCTCGCACCACCCGCACGCGTTTAAAACCCAATCTCAGTCGGCCAGCTCAATATCGCTTCCGCATACGCATTCCCATCATCGACATCATCATCATCATCATCACCATCATCCGTCTCCGATGGGCAGGTACGGAGCCGCAGCCAGTAGTACCGGATGTGAAGCTACGGATGGAGAGGACCACGGAGTGACCCGCCACCGCGACGTCGAGGTAGAGAGCCAGCGAACCGGTCGCCTCCCGCTCGTCAGCGCCGAGCACGACCCTTACGGATTGTCGCAGCGATACAAGACGCCTTCGGAGCTGGCGGCCATCAAGGCAAACACGTCTAGAAAGCGCGATGCCGCCGTCCGGCCCGATTCCTCGGGCGTTGCCAGCACCGTGGGTGGAGCCTCGAACTCCGGCTCCGGCTCCGGCTCTCAGGCGCACGGATCCGGGTCAAAGTGGAGACCGCCCATCGGCCGCTCCGCCTTACAAGCCCGCCGCGTCCGGGGCTTCTATGAAGCCCAAAACGAGACCATCGAGCGCATGCTCAAGAGCGTAGAAGAGCACGTCGCCGAGGCGCGTCAGGAACAGGGAGACGACCACCTCAAGTTCCAGATCGCGGTCTGGGGCTCTTTGATCGCCAACATCATCCTTACAGTCCTCCAGCTCTACGCAGCCATCTCGTCCGGTTCGCTCTCCCTCTTCACCACCATGGCGGACGCAATCTTTGACCCGCTCAGCAACGTGACCTTGATCCTGACCAATCGGGCCGTGAACCGTGTTGACCCAGCCCGTTTCCCCTCAGGTAAAGCCCGCCTGGAGACGGTGGGCAACATCACCTTCTGTTTCATCATGACGGCTGTGTCAGTCGTGCTCATCGCCTTCTCGGCACAGGACCTAGCGCAGCACGACAAGCAGGACGATACCAAGGATTTCTACTTGCCCAGTGTCATCGCCGTGTGCGTCGCCTTCGCGACCAAGTTCTCGCTCTTCCTGTACACCTGGTCGCTGAAGGACAAGTACAGCCAGGTGCGCATCCTGTGGCAGGACCACCGCAACGACCTACTCGTCAACGGGTTCGGTATCCTCACCTCTGTCGGCGGCGCCAAGCTGGTGTGGTGGCTCGACCCTGCGGGCGCCATCTTTCTGAGCGTCATCATCACGGCCATCTGGCTGCGCACTGCCTTTACCGAGTTCCTGCTGCTGGTGGGCGTCACGGCTAGCGTGGAGATCCAGCAGCTGATTACCTACGTGTGCGTCACGCACTCGCCCTTGATCAAGCAGATCGATACCGTGAGGGCTTATCATTCCGGCCCGAGGCTGATTGCCGAGGTGGACGTGGTCATGGACCCGGACGCGACGCTGATGGAGACGCATGATGTGGCGGAGGAACTGCAGATGAAGCTGGAGAGCTTGCCGGATGTGGAGAGGGCGTATGTCCATGTTGACTACGAGACTACGCATAAGCCGGAGCATGCTTTCAAGAAGGACTTGTAAAGTGTAAGTTTCCAAATCTGAATGTTGTAGCTGTTGTTCTCATGGAGATGAAGAGTTCAACGATGAGCATGTTGGCTAGTATAACGATTATTGTTCGCATTGATTATCTGATGTATAATGAATTATTTTGTATTGTTGCTTCACTATTTCTCCACCATTACTACCATCTACTCAACTCTAATAACACCCCGGCTTCTGCTATGTGTCTTTGAATGACCCTCATGCGAATCTGTCTATATTGTTTCCACATCCTTCGTCCCCTCAAGCTACGCCTAGAATGATCACACAGTTGAGCAAGGGGCAAGGAAGATCACAAGAGGCACCTGTTGTGAGTTGTTTCTGGAATGATTCGGGTTTCACAAGCGTCCTCGAGTTCCGTCTCAATAGACGCTTCTTTCTCTTGCCAACTTGACCCTTCGACATGCCGGCGTAAAATCGGAATCGTTCTGTGCTCCTGTCAAATCTCAGTCTCATACGGTCTGAAAAGGAGTGTAGGACAACAATCGAGTCCTGAGCTGTATTCGTTCGGGCCCGTAACCTATTGGTATGGAGAGACTTCGTGTTTGTGTCTATGCCCAACTCTACTCCCTTCGTACCAGCGGGTATGTCGGTTTTGCTCCCCTCTCCTTCCAAGTCATTGCTGGCTGCTTGTTGGTGAAGGGTAATGGCTCGTCGGTCCTAGCTCGTCGGTCCGTTGAATGCCTTGATTTGTAGATTTGTGAGTGAAAATCGAGAAAAGCCTATGAACTGTGCTGCGAGTAAGATGGTCCAGGACGTTGTTGGATGGTTGATGTTCAGCCATAACGACACAAGCTGTTGCACAAAGATTTAGATGACGGCATCTCATTCGTATAACAAAGATGTTGCCGTCGTATTCTGGACATGCAGAGTGAGCTGGTCAATGTTCTAGAGCATCTCTCTCGTTCTGAATAAGGGGAAGAAAGCCCTTCGGGTTAGGCAATTCGTCCTCGTAAGGTTCGGGTACGAGTTCATTGAATCCATGGTGGTGTAGGGCGAATTTGATTGTAACTTGCCATTGATGAGAGGCTCGTCGACAAGAATCGGGCATGAGTAGATCGGACTGCAAGACTGTACCTACTTGGAAGGCATGTTGCGTTAGGCACACAGAGCACAGTACATACACATGTATGTGGTCCCTTGAGCGTAACGCTCCTTGCCTTCAAAACAGGATTCTGCTCGTGTGGAAGCGAGTAGGTTTCCCAACTGTGAATAAGTCGTACCCAATCATGAAGCTGCTGGCGAGAACTAGGCAGGCACAAAAAGAGTCCTGGCTTGGTGGTGCGGGGCATCAGATGTGAGCTGACGCGGGGTAGCTCCATGTACGATACCGAATGTAGGGCAAATAAGTGTCAGCCATGTTCGACCCTATCGAGTGAAGGCAAAAACGGGAACTGTTATCGACATCCTGTCAACCCGTCAGTCTTGTGTAACGAAATAGCTTCGAGTTTATACCACTGTATGATATGTCAAAGAAATGGTGATTGGGCGATGTCAGGCAGGCTCGCAGCTTGACGGCTTTGACCTTACTGGGCAAGCTGGGCTATCAGTGGCAACAGAAGGACAGAGACGGTCTGAAATTGGCACCCCAAGATGCTGAAGATGATCATAGTGATGAAGAAAAATAGCTGATCAAAAAAGGTGAGGACTCTGATTTGAAAAGATTTCCATGGATAATACTGCATGATGCAAGTCCATGTCCCTCCCCAGAAGGAAGCAAGCTGCAAGCCACTTCCCATCAGAGATACTGGAAGCAAATGCCATGCATCGCCAGAAGCGAGACATTTCACAACGGCTCTTGGCGTCCAAATGTGTCGAACTGTGTTCTTCCTATCATCGAGGAAGCCCACCGCAGCCTGTCATGCTTGTTCACGAAAGAGCTGACGACTGCCGATATCGGGATGTTGAGATTGATGCTTTTGGGTCACAGTCAACATGCATTGATGCCGTGAGGCTCAGGGTCCCCAGCCTGTCGGAGCATCGGGAGCTCTCGCTGATGGGTTTTGTCTGATATGATATCGACGGGAGCCATGGCCGAGCGGTCGTCTCTTTGCCTAACTGTAATGTTCACAGACGGTCTTGATCGATAGGTATCGGCCGTTGTTCCATTCAATTTTCGCCGGATTTCTGGGCCCGCTCTGAATGGAGCCTCACGCTGCAACAAGGACGCAATTGAGGCCGCAGTAGGACGCAATGGCATATGAAGCGACAGAGAGGATGGCATCACGCTATCACAAGCCAGGGGGGGATGAGGAGAGAGAGGCGGAGGCGGTATCAAGGTTCTCGTCCGGGTGGTTGGAAAGAGAAGGAAGGGAAGCCCAAGGAAAACCCTTGCAACAGTGACTCCAGTCTTCAACTCTTTTTCGAGAGCCACTTCTTCAACATGTCCCCAATTCCAATGCGCACCGTGACCGGGGCAGCCTAACCCGAGAGGCTTAGATGAGGGGCGCCGAGAAGGGTCCGGGTTCGGGCAGCGCTGGGCAAGCCCCTCACTCCAATGGTTCGTTTCCCCAGAGCATTCTGAATATTGCCCCGCCTGATGATGGCATCGCGTGCGTGATGTACTGTGTACGTACCTGCTTCGGTTTGTCCAGAATCCCGTCCTCCTCGTTCGCTCTTTCCGCCTTCCCATCCAACCAGACGAGATGGAGGTGGAATCTGAGGTCGGGTCCCAGCCGTCAGATCACCACGGTTGGGGCTCTCTCTTCTGTCTGTGCCTTACTCCCACCTACCTACCTACCCTCTTCGACCACCATCTCGGCCATCCCAGACTAACCTTGCAACCTCTTAACCTTGCCACACTGCAGCCTCCTTGACTGGATGTTCTGATAATCTTCGGTAACATACCTAAGGTACTTAAGTCTTGTTCGCCAAGTTTTATTTATTTACTTATAACACCGCTTGGCTTGCTCTCCCCACCTGTGTGCCGATTGCTCCTCCTCTTCTCTTCAAACATCTAAAGGCACCACTGCACCTCAAGCAAGTCATTGAACATCTGCCATTTCTTGCTATCCCTCGCCGTTAAACTCTTAAAGTCACAGCTCGAACCTCTGTGATTGTCAAAATGGCGATCACTAAAGGAGAGGATGTGTATGCTAGTGTAAGTCTTTCTCCTCCCTTTGATCCCATTGTCTCCCTCCTTCCTGCACCATCTGTGCCATAAAGAGGCTGGCAGCACTTGGTTAGTTGGTGCTCGCGCATCTATGAACTGCCGCATTGTCCAATCGCAGTCTCTGCTTTGCAGTGCGCATATCGCAAGCAGACTCGGACACTTCAGTTTCCGCGAAGAATCGCAACAGCTGACATGTTCTTTTTGAATAGCTTCTCTTGAACGACGGATACCTTCCTGGCGCACTTGTTCTTGCGCACTCGCTGCGTGATTCCGGCACCAATAAGAAGCTCGCTATCTTGATCACCCCCGAGACCGTCTCCAACGAGGTTGTGGAACAGCTTCAGGTAAGACCGCCAGCCACTGTCCGATTCCAATGTCCAAAGTAGAACTTGTGGCTAACTCCTTACAAGACCGTCTACGACTATGTCATCCCCGTCGAGACGATTCAGAATGACCGACCGGCCAACCTGTTCCTCATGAACCGCCCTGATTTGCACTCGGCCTTCACCAAGATCAACCTCTGGAAGCAGACCCAGTTCCGCAAGATCGTCTACATCGATGCCGACGTTGTCGCTTATAGGGCTCCCGATGAGCTCTTCGACCTCCCTCACGCCTTCTCCGCCGCTCCCGATATCGGCTGGCCCGACCTGTTCAACACTGGTGTCATGGTTCTGGCGCCCAACATGGGTGATTACTACGCCTTGTTGGCTATGGCCGAGAGAGGAATCTCGTTCGACGGTGCCGATCAGGGTCTCTTGAACATGCACTTCAGGAACACTTACAACCGCCTGAGCTTCACCTACAATGTCACGCCCTCCGCCCACTACCAGTACATTCCGGCCTATAAACACTTCCAATCGAGCATCAACTTGGTCCACTTCATTGGCTCGGAGAAGCCGTGGGTTCAGGGCCGCACCCACACCACCGGAAGCGGAACCTACGATGAGATGATCGGTAGATGGTGGGCCGTTTACGATCGCCACTACCGCAACAACGTGAGTGTCCCAACTGCTCTTTCCACACGATATGTCTTTCAAAAACGATATACTGACCAATGCTCAACAGTCCAACAAGACTACCGATGTTGTTGAAAAGTTCGTAAAGGGTGAACAGCAACAGCGCAACGTTTCTTTCCAGATCCCTCCTAGCCAGAGCCAGAGCCACAGCACACAGAACCAGATTACCCCCTACAACACCTACAACAGTTACGGGCAATCCTGGGATGCTGCAAGAAACTCCCCGCCAGCTGGCTCCAAGCCGGAAGCCGCCAACTTCCCAAACTCGCACTACAAGATGTCCTCGAGCACACAACAGTTTGTGGCGCCTGCGCGGTATCCCAGCCCGCCCAAGGACATGTGGTACAAGGTTCCCGAGGCGGCGCCGACCCAGAAAACCGCCCCAATCTTCCCTTGGGAGAAGCAGGCACCTGCACCCACTAGGGTCTTTGCCGAACCGCCTCCTGAGCAGCGAAAGCCCTCAGTTGCGTCAATTGTGACGCCGGCATCAGCTACCAGATCGCCAACCATTGAGCCGAAGAGCGAGGCTGTTACACCCACGACCCCCGGAAGTGCTAACACATGGACTTCTTTCACAACCAGAGGAAATGCTTGGGATGATGTACCCGAAATCAACCGATATGTCGACGCTTTGCAAAAGCACCGCCGCTCCGGAAGTAAGGGCTCGGCGGCAGCCACGTCGAGGCCGACTAGTCCTGGTCGCGCTCAGAGCAGATCTAGGAGAAGCTCTAGGGTGACTGACTTCCCGACCGAGGATGACCGTCCAAGCCTTCCTGTCACCCCCGCGCCCATCCAAGGACCGAGATCTTCGAGAGGTGAGAATGCGCGACAGTTCCCTGCTGCCGCCGGCGTACCAGCGCAATCCGAATGGGTATGTATACATGCACGCATTAGATGTTGCTAATATCCTGCAGCCTCTAACACCCTTGTGGTTGGCTAACAGAAATTGTGATTACAGGATCCCGCAGCCCAGCTTGAGAAGCTCGCGCTACACCAGCAAGAAACGTTGCAGAAGCTCGGTGAGCGACCTGCTTTTGGGGGATTGGCAATTGGGACAGCGGGTAAAGAGATCCCGGCTCGCGCACTTCCCTTTGGGTCCGAAGACGCAAGATCGCCAACTTATGTTGCCCAGTCTCCGTCGGTGCTTAGTCCGAAGCCGTTGAGAGCGAGTACAACCGGAACGAACTCGGTACGCAGAATCCTGACGATTGACGAAGAGGGAGGGAACGTGCCGCTGACGACTACGGAAAAAAAGACCCCGAGCCCACTGCCCACGCAGCCAAGCATTACCATCGCCCCGCCGAGCTATCAGGGACCAGGTGCAGCTTTTGAGAAGGGGGAAGACTTCCCCACTCATGAGACGCCTGCGCTTCCGACGGAGGAGGAAAGAGATGTCCTTGAGACGTGATCAACTACATCGACCTACAATCAGGTACAAACAACGCAATCGTTGGATTGACTGCTGATAATCAACATTCAGTGTACAACTTCCATGGGGGCGTATTCTTACCGGTGTACAAAAGCTCAAAACTGGCGGATCTCAAAAGGATACGGGGGGAGGAGGTTCTGGAACTGGAATGGCATGACGAATTTCTTTTCAGTTAACACCGGTTGTGCGCGCGGAGGACGAATCTGGGTCTGTGCATCGAAGGAAGGCTTCTGCTGGTGGATGCTGAACACAAACGATTTTGGGACAGCGATTTTTGGGCTTGGTTGCGGTATTCTGTTTCCTTATACCTCTTTGTTTTTCTGCTCATGATTGAATGATAGACTTGTGTTTCTTTTTCAGCCTTTCTTGACAGGATCTACGTGAGACCATCAATACTGAAAATCCCAATAACTCCCAAAGAGCAACAACCTCTGGGCTGTTCTGTGCTGCTGTGATTGTGCCGTTGCATTCTTCGGCGAACCTGACCGTTCTGCTGTAGAGGGCTGGATATGAGTGGGGCGAACCTCAGGGGTAAGTAAACAAATCGACCGTGACGCCAAGAATGGGCGTTGACAATACCGCTCCGTTGCTTTCTCTCTTTCACGACTCTTCTTCAAGACATTTAAGTAAAAACAACTCAGGATATTTCAGCTTCTAATATTAATGGCATTTGATCCTATCTCCTGATTTTACCCCTACTTATTCAAAAACAGCCATCCTGGCCACCTGTCCTCACCGCGAAGACACCAGCTAGCCACCCAGCTTACTGCACACTCCCATACCCCGACTTACACTGCTTGCCCAGCGCCGTGCTTCCACTGCGCATATAGCAAATCTTGGCCTTCGCACACTCCTCCGTCTCACACTTTTTGCTCTTCGAACTGCTCTTCCCCTGATACTGCGTAAACAGTTCAACAAGCGTCCTATTCCGCTCCATCGCCTCCGTTACCCCATGCCAGAACGTAGCATTAAGCGGTGCGTCGCTCGGCCAGTTGATCGCTGGCCCGTAGGCAGCGCGAGTCGAGTACTCCAACTCGAAAACCGGCCCTTTTCCTGGTCCCTCTCCTTTCCCATCGAGGTTGGTGTATGTGCCCACGTCGCTGTAGAAGGTATAAGCCTCCATAACCTCCCAGCTCCCCGTATCAACCTCATACATGCGATAACCCGAATTCAAGTTCTGCAGCGGCGTCATGGAGGGACCAACCCAGCCCGTCACCAGCCCATTTTCTTTTCTTTGATCCGTCCCGTTGTTTTTGTAGTAAAGTGTGAACTGGTCCTCATGCGAATGCCCGAAAAAGATATTGGCAATCACGTGCGGACTGTACCGCTCGACAATCTGGTAAAAGTAATCTGCCTGGTTCGGGAGCGCGCTGCCGCCGTCCCACCCCGTGGGGATGTGCGCGTTGATCCAGACGCGCTGCTTCTTATCCTCGGCGGACTGGAGCTCGTCGATCAAAAAGGAGAACATGCCGCTGTAGTCGGGGTTGGAAGCGTTGAGCAGCGCGAACGGGTTGTGTTGGTAGTACAAGTCGCTGTTCAAAGTGATTACTTTGAGACCTGGGTGGGCAGGCGGAGAAGAGACGGCGTAGGCGGCGTAGTGCGTGGCGGCTTGGTGAGCGACGGAGGGGGAGATCCAGTTGTAGTGAGCCCAGAGGGAGGAGACGTGGTCGTAGTTCCAGGAAAACTGCTGGCCGAGGGTGGAGTTGTTGTCGATGGCGTGGGGCGCTTCGTAGTCGGCTGGGGTCGTGTCGTGGTTTCCGAGAGCAGTGTAGATGGGCCCGCGATGTAGGCCTTGAACATCTCCCAAATGGCAAGTTCGGAGGCCTCGACGTAGGTGCGAGAAGCCTGGTTCTCGTCGTCGTGGGCGATCATGTCGCCTGTGTAGAGGGAGAAGGCGGGCGGGTTCTTGGAGGATGTACCTGTTAAGGGACCGATGGATTGGAGGGCGGCGAGGGCCAGGTAGAACGGGGAATCGCACTTGTAGTAGCCGAAGAGAGGAGCAGAGACGGAGATCTCGGGGACGGTACCGTTTGCTGGTGGTTCAGAGTACCGACAGCACATGTAAGATATGCAGTTGGCTTCGGATCCAACGCTATATCGAGGGTCTAGATGTTTATTAGCATGGCTAGCGCTTGGGAAATGGATCAGTTGGTCATCTCACCGAGATGAAGATCCGACAAGTGCAACACCTTAACCGTCTTCCCACTCCGACGAGGCTGAGCAGGCTTCTTAGGCTTAGGCTTAGGGAATTTGGCTTTGACGGATTGTACAGTGGGATAATCGCAGGTGCCCTTGCGAAGATACGAGCAGATGTATTTTCCATCGAGTCCCGCTACATCAGCATACGCGAGGATCTGTGCCCAAGAAGCGCCGGACCCGTTGGGGCCATACGTGAGCTCGCAACTGCTGTATGTGCTGAACATGAGCTTGTGACATAGCGATACCATGCCAGTCGGGAAGCGAGTCGGAGCCAGCTTTGCTACCATCTGACCCACCGCCAGGGCAGCAACGCACTTGGAGCATGTGTTTGATCCTCCGGTGTTGTTGCTCTCGAAGATTCGCAAGATCTCAGAGACAGCTGCTGAAACAATGGCTTCACCGGTAGCATCTGAAAGATTGGCTACAGGTTGGGGGAAAATCACCGGGTCGTCATTAGAATCTGGGACATGCTTCTGGTCCGTGAGATTAGATGGGAAGGTGATGTTCAGAACAGGATCGTATAGGGCGGGCTGTGGCTGGTTCGTCGGACCGGGCTTGACTGAGATATGAATATCTGAGTTAGAGGGAGCTCTTGATTATTGGTGTAAAGCATTCATCATGTCATCTCACCATAGTAGCTTGAGAACACCGAAGTTGGGAAAGCCGCAGGAACAGTGAAAACAGAGACAGAGCCCGGATAAGAAACATCGTCTTGGTGGTGTGGGTGAGGAGGTTGCTCTGGTTGTTTTGGATGAGCAAAGGCTGGCGTGACGGCCAAAGCCATCACAGAGCACCACAAGAGGCCCATCATGGTAGGTGACCGTGAGAAGCTAAAAACTGCTATGAGCTTTGACCGAAGACCACTCAGCGATTGTTCTCTTGAGCTTCACCGACTCGAGAGGGACATTTCCGTATTTTTGTGGCGGGAGGCTGGAGAAAATTTGTAGCCTCCATGGGCATCGAATCCAACAAAATCTACCTCCAACCGAAATAGGAAGTTCGTTTTCCAAGTCGTGTAGATCCACCTTACCGATCCGACTTGTTAACACAAAGGTACTGAGGTCGTACCGACTGTCCTACCCCTCCTAGTCTATGATAACGACCCCTGATTAGTGACGTAAGTGTACCTTGCTCCTTATCACTGCCGTGTTCCGAGGGACATAGTGATCTTGAGGAAGCTGGGGAGCTTTACCTAGCACGTTCAGAAACGTCAATGTCCAATTGGGTGTGAGCGATGAATGTAGGTAATCCGCAGAGCTCCGAACTCCGAGTGTCCAACCTCAAGCCCACGTTTTCCCCAGAATAGCTTCTTTGAGTAGGAGGTGAACCACCATGGATCCCTTCCTTTTGAGTTCTGCTTGGATATCTCCGCACAAGCAGAACGGATCGGCATACACATAGAGCGGGGAATTCAAACGGAGTAGGCAAGGTTGAACCTTTGAGCTCGTGCTCGCAAGTAAACACGCCGAGTGTTCGCGAGGACGATACGGCTCTCGGTTTTGCTGGCTCATTCTGTTGTTGCTGCGCAGCAAAATGTCAGAAAGTCCCGAGTCGTTTCTAGACCGACACATAAGCACTAAAACCTATAACTGAGGTGAGGGAAGAGTGAGGGGCATTTGGCTCTCAGATACACACCGATGATGGTCTCACACTTTGCCCACTTGCTCACGCCAATTCTCATGGCGGCGACCGCTTGGGAGGGTGGCTGGAAGAAGGCATGCCAAGACGAGTCGAATGCATGATCAATAGAATCGTATTGTTGAGTCTTCCATCTGGTGTGAAGGGAATTTGTATTCAGCAAGATCAATGGTTGACAGAATTTTTCGCGAAGGTCCAGCCTCTGCCGCAGTGATTCATCTGATCTCGGGGCTGCGAGATGTTTCGGATGGAAACAAAATGGGCTTACCATTGTCTCTGCCGTGAAAGTCCCGCAGTTGTATAGGATGCGACTGGCGAGAAGTGACAGTCAAAAATCTACCAAGAATCGTGAAGCCATAATTTTCTTCTCCTTTCGGTTGTCTGCTCTTCCCAACTCGTCCCACGTTCTGAGATTGAATCTTCGCATAAGAAACCAACCATTCGAGACCGCAACAACAACCGAACAAACAAACAACCTCAATGCCGAAGAGGAAGAACCGAGGTTCTGAAGTTACCAGTCCCAAGATGGCCCCGACAACCATCAAGAAGACCTCGCAGGCTGATAAGGCTCAGCAATCGTCAAAGTAAGTGTCGAGGCTATTCCCATGAGGATGTTGTTTAGTGAGAGGAAGATCAATGCGATGGTTCAGAATGCAATCAATCAATGGGATGGGTCCGCCATTCAGTTACAGCGGCTCAGTGGCTTGTCAGTGCTGCTCTGCAGAAGGCTGGCCTATCATGGTGCCTTTTGTGGTGGAGTTGGGGCTTAATGGCACCGTTAGCGGCAACAAACAGTGGCTGACTTGTGTCTAAGCAGTGCGGCTGCAGGAGGCGACTTCAGCCTCGCCCAACCATCCGCGGTCAACTCCAAGGACCTAAAGAACGACGACGCCGTCGCAGCACACGAAGCTTGGAGAAGAAAGCTCCACAAGTCCGCGAGACGAGAGGCTGCACAAATCGGATCTTCTCGTACCAGCACGAAGCGTCCACAGCGCACCGCGGACAAAAGCGCGCCGTCAGATCCGCCCTCAACACCTCTCCGGCGCAGCAGCCGTGTCCCTGCCCCCAAGAGGAACATCGCCGACAAGATCAAGATCGAGAGGGTCATGCCCAGAGGGCGCCCCAGAAAGTCAACCAAGGCCAAGAAGCCGAAGAAGGAATCGTCAGAGACGTACTACCAAATCCGGCGCATTGCTGGAGAGAAGACCGAAAACGGACGGCTGTTCTACTACATCGACTGGGCTAACGACCCCAACACTGGAGAGAGCTTTGAGCCGACCTGGGTATGTTGTGGCTACCTATTACCTACGTTATTACATACAGTACACTAACCACCACTGCACTTACAGGAACCAGCTGAGTACGTGACCGAAGCCGCAATCGCTCATTGGGAGTCTACCAAGGACAAGGCACCGCAAAGCGACGACGACGACGAACCCGATCAAGAGAACAAAAACCAGGACGAGGAAGACGAGGAGGACGAGTTGCCAATTGTTCGCCGCCGTCAGAAGCACAAACTCACGCAGGATCGAGAGGAAGCCGAAGAGCAGCAGCAGCCACGGAAGCGAGCTCGGACCGCCGACGCGCAGGTAAAGGACAACACGGGCGCCAATCCTCGCATTCAGCCCGTCAAGATTGCTGTTGAGATTCCGCGCGAACCCACCGTCGACCCGTCCGATTTCGTACCTGTCACTATCTCCTCCCAAGACAGTTCCCAGCCCGCCTCGCAGCATCAGGAACCTGCAGCGCCAACAAAAGAAACCAGCCAACGGACGATTCCCGACTCGCAAAGCTTGGGTGATTCCCTGCCATCCCTGCCACAGGAGACCCAGGAGGAGCCAGAACTTCCGGTCGAAGAGGAAGTTAGCGATTATCATTCAGCCGTGGAAGATCGGGACTCTCAAAGCGCTCCTACTCCGTCTTCCTCCTTCGCGTCCGCCCAGGATCAGCTCACGCAGTCTGGGGCCGAGATTCCGTCCAGACAGATCGAAGATCACTTGGAGGTTGAACCCCAGTCCATCATCTCCTTCAGCGACCAGCAAACCACGACCGAGGAGGCCTTGCATCAACAGGAGCTTACTTCAAACCTGAGCAGCTCCCCGCCTGGAGGATTCTTGACGCAAGTCGAACTCGGTTGGTTGGCAGAAGAGATCTCGTCCAAGTCGGGAGTTATCGTCTCAACTAGCCAGGCCGTGAGCCAAAACCACGATAACCGCAGCCAAGGCCCCGCAAACGACGAACTTGAAACCACAAACACAACAGTTGCTTCGCACCCAACCTCGAACAGCGTTCCCTCGCAGGCCGCCCAGGTTCTGCTCCCTTCAAGCAGCGTTTCACAGCAACTGCGCAGTCAAATCGAATTCTCGAGCTTGATCGAGAATTCTACACCATCTGGACGGGCGGCCCTCACCAGCCAAACCGAGAGCGACGTCGTTCCCGCCACCTTGCAGAAAGAGGTCAGTGGCACCAGAGAGTGGCCAAGTGGCATCACAGAGCCGCCAGCATCATCATATATGATCCTGCGTGCACCAGACATAAACCAGAAGCAGTCACACTCTGACAACACAAACAGACTCGACCGAGAGGCATTGTCTCATAATCCGATAACCCCTCCCCCTTCTTCTTCTTTCTTGCCCACTTTGACCTCTTCAACCACCCACACACCTAATCAAAACGAAGACTGCGAGACAGCTAACTTCAGCATGGACGACGCGTTCTCGACGGAGACGCCTCAGCTCTCCGCAACGGAGACGCTACAACGTTTGATTTACGGCAAGCAGTCCGACGAGCCGTCCACACTCTTAACCTCGCCAGCCTCGCATCTAGACCTCCATACCACCCAACCTGAGCAGCAGGAACAACAACCGATGGCAATCTCTCCTGCCGATGTTTTCCCTGCGCCTCACCCTGATCCGACGGATTCGTGGGACATTCAGCCATCAGGTAATATTCTTCACAGCATCGATCCGAGTCCTGGGTTGCATCCGGGATCTGTCATTTCCAATGGTGAGACCATCTCTGCTGTTGATCAGCTTAGACGTAGTCTGGGACTCCCATTCACTTCCAACGCCCCGCATACCGAGCTCGATATCTCTCCAGAGCCGGTCGAAACCCACGAACATGTAGCGTCCGACGAGTTGCCTGCAACTATTGCCCCTTCTGATTTGGATGTATCAGCCGCCCATGATGCCCTTCCGTCCCACGAACAGGTCGATTTCAATCATCATAACGAAGACATGACCAACACATCTCGGAACATGGACTCCGAGGAACCGGAGGAAGAATCGGAGCTAACCGAGTTTCTGGTCACCCTACCGATGGCGGCGAATTCTCGTCCCCAGTACCTCGAAACGATCGACAAGAATAAAGTTGCTATGGAGGAGTTCTGCCAGGCCTTCAGGGAGTCTCACCCGGCGGTGCCCAGCGATACCCTCACCGCAAAAATCGACTCGATCTTCCAGCGACTGGGCGAGCTCTGCGACTTGCCAGCCTATGCGGACACCATCCCGGCGATGACGCCCACCGAAATGATGAAGCACGCAACGGGAACTAACACCAAGTTTTCTTTCATCTATGAGTTTCTCCACCTAGCCCGAGACTTGAATGCCCGAGTTCTCATCCTTTGCCGACCTGGCAGGACATTTGACTACTTGGAAGCTGTAGTCTCTACACCTGGTTTTAACTACAATGTTCTTGGGCGTGACGAGCCAAGCTCGCCTGATGACACTTCTGACGGGTTGTGGGTGGTTCTGGCTTCACCAGACCAGGATTTGTCCGCCATTCGTGGACCTATCGACGTGGTTATCAAATTTGATCACGAGACGAGATCAACCAGACTGCCTTCCGGCCTGGTTCCTGTTGTCTTGTCTCTCGTAGTCTCCTACAGTCTAGAGCATGTTGACCTCCAACTCAACCAAATGGAACATGAGTTGAGCGGCTTGGAGAAGAAGAACGCCCTTACTCTGGCGATCGCCACTCCAACAGCGAGAAGGCTGTTCGTAAACCCACCAGATGACGGGCATGAGCCGCACAAAGTTGCCGAGCTTTTCGCCTGCCTCTTGCAGAACCCAGATAACGATCTATCGTGGGAACCGCAAGTTCTTCCTGCAGATGTCTTTGATGGCTGGTTGAATTCGCAGGACCGTATGGAGTCAGCTCAGCATGTACTTCCCTCAAGAGATGCCACTGGCCGTAAGCGCCACTTGGTAAGTTTCAAAACCTAAACGTCCATCACATCTCATGAGTAGCACGCTAACCGGACCACAGGATGAAGTCGATGCTGGCACACCCAAGCGAGCCAGGCTTTCTCAGACCCAGACACCTCGGAATAGCACGCCATCCCAGATCACCGACTTGCTGAGGAGTACTCTGGAGAAATACCCTGGCAGGCCGGCAACACAGTTCATGGAGATTTCAGTAGAGCAGCTTGAAGCTCTCGCCTTCAAGATCTTCGAGCTAGAATCAGACCTTGAACGAGAAGCAAGTGACGAGAACCGAACCCGTCTGCTCGCCAGGAACCTCAGCGTTGAACTGGAATCTTTCAAGCGCACGGTGGATGTCCTTACCCCCAAGTACGCCGAAGCCCTGCACGACCGCAGCACCTTCGAGAAGACGTGCAAGAAGGCGGTCGACGACAACGCCGCAGCCCAAAAGCGGCTCGAAGCCAGCAAACACGACCTTGACACGGCCAAGAGGGAGAACAAAGCGCTCGAAGCCAAGTTAGCCGACTACCAATCACAATTTGCGAACTCCTCCAACCCGGACCTATCCCGTCTCGCCCTTGCCGAGCAGGAGCTCTCAGAAACCAAGACCAAACTGGCCGCTCTCGAGAAGCGCATGGCCACCACGACCAACGAGATGGAATACAGCCGCAGCGCCTACCAAAACGCCTCCAATGCGCACACGGAGCTGAACAACGAGAACCTCGCCCTCAAGCGCAAGATCGAAGAGCTCGAGCGTAAAGCCTCCCAGAACGTCGTGACGGTAAACAAGATCAACGCCGACCAGGAGAAGAAGTTCCTGGGCAAGCAGAACGACGAGTACCGCGCCCTAATCCGCGACCGTGAACGCGAGCTGGAGGTCGCCCGCGCCGAGCTGCGCCATCTCAAGAGCGGACGGCGCGAGACCCGCCAGGCTAGCGTCCCGCGGAGTCCGCGGACGACGGTCGGACGCAGGAATGCTGGGAACAACAACAACAACAACAACAACAACACGGCGGACACGGCGGCGAGTAGCCGGGGTAATAGTCCTGCGCCGGGTAATGCTAGTGATGGGAACGGGAACGGAGGAGGAGGAGGCATGAACTTCAATCCCCGGTGGGGGCACCTGCGTGATTAGGACGTGACGACTGGGAGCCAGACTAACCGGGGCCGGAGAAGGGGTCGGAGAGCGAAATCGATGGGTGTTTGAAAAAGAAACATCATGTCTGGCTGTCTGGCTGACTGTTTGTCGCAGCTGCTGTTTTTCTCTTTCATGGTAAGACACACTAGGGGAAGAAGACAAGGCAACGATTGAGATTGTCAAATTCTTTGACAATGGTGGAATGGTTATTTGCTTTATTGCTTCTGTCACACACATTGGCTATTTCCTTTTTCTCCCTTTTTTTCTTTTCTGTTTTCTATAGCCGATAGGGACTTTTACACAATACCCGTCTCCCTTAGCTCACGGCTTTATTAGATCAGTTGTCTTTTTTCTCGTTTCCTTTTTCATGTTGTTTAAAGGCACGATGGTAGCCAAGTTGCATTTGCGGCAGGTTGAGGGATGCATATGGAGAGAGGTTTGAGGCACTCGGCGCAATTAAGGCCAGATTACCTTCTCTAGATACGTATACTAGGCATAAGGAAACAGCAGAGTTTTAGAAATTGTGAAGCTGGACCATCCGAATGAAGAATGTAACCCGCATCTGACTTTGTGAATCCTACGGTGAGTCTCTCATCACTGTCATTTTGAGGGCATGTATTTTCTCTTCTCGTCGCTCACTGTGTTGTTCAAACATATCGTATGATATAAAGCGTCACAACCAACCGAAACCAACTGTTATCATCTATTTTTATCCAACTGCGTAGACAAATAGTCTGAACTCGGTCGATTCATCTCTCTAAACCCCTTCTTGGATATACTATGCCCTTATTTCCAGCAATAAGAGTCTCTGGTCTAAGAAACATGTACAGTATCAGGGCGGCAGCGCATAGTGCTCTCTCTTATTCGTGAGTTCCAAACACACATACGCACGCCTTCCGTGTCACACAACCTTTCCTCTCTCTTTCTCTCTCACCTCGTGGCTCTCTCATTTCCCCTCTCGTCCACTTTCAAAAGGTTCTGGTCGTTTGAATAGTGATCGATCATCATGTCAACTTCTAAATTACGTTGATCCTAAATTTAGTTGGCCTCCTCGGGGTAGAGGTCCTCCTTGAGGGTGATGCCGAGCTCCTCACGAAGGGGCTTGAGCTCAGCGAGGTACTGCTCGTACTGGCCCTTGTTCTCAACCTTGGCCTTGATGCCTGTTATGAAGAAAGCCCGTTGTCAGCATGGTTCTGGCTGCCCAAAACTGTTGTGTCGTCCCCTATCCACCCGAGTCTTCCAGCACAATGATATTGGCGCATAGACAGGTCGTCGATGGCTGCGATGTGCGGTTTTCGGAGGTGGCAGTGATAATGCTATGACGGGATCGGGGTCTCTTACCCTCGAAGACGCGGACAGCGGTAGGGAAGTCGTTGACGCGGCGGGCAGCCTTGAGAGCGGCGGCGAGAACGGAGGGGGAGGGGACGAGATCGTAAGCGAAAGCGTTGTTCAGGTTGCGCTAATTTCGGCATGGCAGCGTCAGTCACGTTGTTTCTTTCTTGCTCCTCATCCCACCAGTGGAACAATTGTCCTCTGATCGAGGATGCAAGCGGTGCGTCGTCGGGTAGGCCGTGGGAGTCGAGGTGGGATGGGAGCACGGGAGGTGGTGCATACCTGAAGCTCGAAAACATCCTGGACGCCATCAAACTCCTTCTCGTATGTGGGAAAAGGCGCAGGTTAGAATTGGGTTGTTCTCGAGGACGCATGCAGATGTTGAAGAGGTGCCCCTGGCTAAGGCTGAAGGGGGACAGAGTCGGAGGCATCACGTCATAGTGAAGCCGAGCTAGGACGGGCAGGTAGCTAGCTCGGGCCTGGGACCTCGGGAGCTCGGAGAGGTAGTAGCTTCCCGGCCGGGATGCCGGGGGCAAGACTCACCGGGCAGTGAACTCCTCGAAGGTCTCCTCGTGGTGCTCGGAGCGGAAACGGCTGGAGGTGCTGAAGAGGCTGACGCGGGCGGCGACGGGCTGGGGGCGGGCGACGGCGCGGAAGAGGCCGGCGGAGGGGCCGCGGACGGCAGTGCGGAAGAAGGAGGCCATTGCGACGGAGGGACCGAGGGGGCTACTAGAGATGAAAATTAAGAGCACACGGTAAGAAGCTGGAACTGGAAAGCGAAGAAGACCGGGGGGAAGAAAAGGCAAGGCGGTAATTGGCGGCGGGGACGGAGGAGGCACGCACGTTACGTAGAGGGAGGTACGGTAGCTGAGAGGATGGTCTCAATTGATGCTAACGAGGTCGAGGTTCGATGGTGTGCGTCGTAAATGCTTTGGAAGTCTCCCGGTATTGCACTGCATCGAACCATTCGAATACTTCGGCTATGTCTTTTTCGCTTAGCTGACTAGCTGTGCTTTTTCCGCCCTCGAAGTACCTCTGGACGAGCCACAAAAGGGTCCGTGCACAAGCTCTCTAAGCTCACCTTACCAATTCGTACATGAGCTTTCTATGCAATTGGACGAGAAACAGCCCACTTTTCCGCACCAGCCGTGGCTGAAGTGGCTTGAAACGGCTTCTTTAACTTCATAATGGGGCTGATGTCCAGTCCAACAACCGGGGGGTATAACGCCTTCCTGCAGCTATGATGCAACCAGTGCGTATTGCTCGGGTCGGCCTTTCACACAAGACAGTGCTTGTCCGTGTTGCGGATAAGTACGTTCCGGTTTATTCAATCCAAGTCATCGTCATGTTGACCGTACCTATTAGGTATCTATCCATTGTTTTTTCCCTCTAGGTTCAGACGTCTTTTGTGACAGTAGACGCCGGAGACTTGCGAAGACATCATTCTACACAGTAGAAACCGACTGCTGACCCGAATGTCTTAAACGGCACATGGCCGGTCATCTTAAAGTGCACGTCTCGTGTGTGTGGATGGATGAGTGATGGGCCGGAGTCCGGAGAGAACCTAGGAAACGCGCCTAGAAGCATTGGTGGGTTGGGGTTATTGAGCAGGCGAGAGCCATGAGACATCAAACATGGACTCGACTGAACGACCGAGTCTTTATCCTCGCTGGTTAATGCCTTACCGTGGCACTGAGCCAAGTGGTGAGCCCAATCGGCTGGAGGGCAAGCCATTTATCCAGCTTCTCACAGAAAATTGGTCCGGGTTCACCTGGAGCGTTCTCATATTGATCCCATCAAGAAGGTTCTTGACAGCGCAGTCGAGATCTTCTCACCTTCCTGAAAGTTTGAAACCTCGGTATAGACTCCGATCGTTCGATCAAGAGCTGGCCCGTTACGGTCCGATTGTTAACGCTCCGCATCATGAACGAGGTATCCGATGTAGGGGCACCGTAGGCATTTGGTAAACGTCGAACGGCCTAGAAGGGTATCCCCGAGTGTCGAGTCAATTCTCGATCTCATCCGTGTTTCAACGGGCATGGTGGTTTTCAGTAGGACAAGCCCCTTTTGATGGAGCCCGCGTTGAGTCGCAGCGAAACAGGCACGAGACACGATTGATGGCGCGCTAAAACGAAAGTGAAGTTCTGCGTTGTTGAACCACACTGCAACCTCATCACGGGCTTCGCCGTGTCCACTCCGGTGTCATCAGTTCGGTCATCACTCCTCGAGAACAGACTCGCTGGCGACGTCGCAACCAGTCATGAGTGGTAGCAGCTATTCCGATTTCCGAGGTCTTGGGTCCGTACATACTGGTGCCGTACAACTGGATAGTTCGGCGCGGTGAGACAAAGATTCGGGAAGGTGATTGGGTGGTGAGAGCTGCAATGGCAAATTTGGGAACTTCACATGCAGGAACTGGAAATGAAAAGCCAAGTGTCGTTGGAGGCTGGGCGCGTCTGGGTGGGTGGCTACCCCTTTTCCACTTTGTTGACTACCGCCCAAAAACGGTCGCATTCACAGTGAGTAGCAGTCACCACTGCGGTGCCGTCCATGCGGCTGACTGGGCGGGTGCCATGGCCCCGGGAGATCAGTGCACACAGAACTGAAGTGCCTGCGTAAGGTATTGGAATGGAAGGCCCGTGGATGGGAAGTCACCGCCGTCAGCCTGGGAGCCTTGCCTCACTCTCAGCTTCCCCTGTCCTGTGATGAGTATCGGATTTCAGATCAGGTTCCAGGTTGCCCGGGGATACTTGCTCTTGGGGTGTTCATTAACTTTGTCCCGAGCATGGATGATGGATGTGGCCGCCAGGAACTGTAACACATGAATTGGAGTCGCGAAGGGCTGAAATTTAGCGGCCACGTTGGACCTTGGAACATCTGCGCACTGCACCATGCTGTCAACAAAGGTACATCGAATTTCTGCCATCGACATGTGAAGTCATCAACCTCGTTTTTTGGTTATTCGTTTGCTTGCGCACTCTTTCAATTCTTCTCGAACCACGCAGATTTGATTTTCATAATTTGTCACTCCAAACATTCCAAATCCGTTTTCAACGCTCATTTTTGGACGTGGTACGTCGACATCGTGATTGCTGCGACCCTCAGAAGCTCACTGTCCGCCTTTCTGCAGAGGTACCACAAGTGGCCGTAACTACTGCGTGGCCGACTTCTTGGCGGCGGATCTTGGGCCTAATCTCGACCAGTCTCCCCCGTGGCCCGCCCGCGGATTCCGAGCCTCGAATACAAAAATCTTGCCGCCTTTGGTGCCTCGCCCGGACAAACACAAGTCCCTGAATTCCGTACGCGGAGCCCCCCAACCCCTTTTCCCCCGTCGCGCGACGCTCCTCCACCTCCTGCCGTCCCTATATTGACCTCTTCCCCCCAGCACCCGTCCAGCTCGGCTTCGATTGTTGCACAACCACTCTGTCAACATCTCTCACTGCGCGCATTCAAGATGGCGACCGCAAGCCCTGTGTCGTTCCTCGACAGCCTCCCCCGGCCCACCCTCGACCGCCCGTTCGGCATCCACCTATGGCCCATCTTCAGCAAGGCCTTTGAGGCCGTCGCCGGCTACCCTGCCGAGGAATTCAGATTCGTTCCCGGCGAGACGCCCATGTCCACTCTGAAGGAGACCAGCATCTTCATCGTCATCTACTACACCATCATCTTTGGCGGTCGTGAGCTTATGCGCAACCGCGAGCCCTTCAAGCTGCGCACGCTCTTCCTGATCCACAACTTCTACTTAACCGCCATCAGCGCTATTCTCCTGGCTCTCTTCATTGAGCAGCTTCTCCCCATCGTTGTTCGTGGCGGCATCTTCCACGCCATCTGCCACATTGACGGCGGCTGGACTCAGCCCCTGGTTGTCCTCTACTACGTATGTTGCGGCTCACCGCCCGATGCGCCTTTGGGGTCGGCAGACTAACATTGTCCAGTTGAACTACCTCACCAAGTACCTCGAGCTCCTCGATACCTGCTTCTTGTTCCTCAAGAAGAAACCCCTCAGTACGTTGCCATTAAAGAAGAAATTACGATGTCGTACGACGATTCCTAACATTTTGCAGCTTTCCTCCACTGCTACCACCATGGCGCCACTGCTCTTCTCTGCTACACCCAGCTGATCGGCTCTACCTCCGTCTCTTGGGTTCCCATCACCCTTAACCTGACTGTCCACGTCGTCATGTACTGGTACTACTTCCAGAGCGCGCGTGGCATCCGTATCTGGTGGAAGGAGTGGATCACCCGTCTCCAGATCATCCAGTTCGTCATTGATCTTGGTAAGCCTCTCCCTCGTACGTAGTGGCCTCGTCACCCACGCTAACTCTTTTGCGCGCACAGGCTTCGTCTACTTCGCCTCTTACACTTATTTCACCTCGACCTACTTCCCCTGGATGCCCAATGCTGGCAAGTGCGCTGGCGAGGAGTTTGCCGCCTTCTCCGGCATTGGCATTCTCAGCTCTTACCTCGTCCTCTTCATCTCCTTCTACTTCGCCACCTACAAGAAGGACTCCAAGCGCCCCACTGCTCGCAAATCTCTTCGCAGAATGTCTCAGGCCCCGTTGCCCGACCCTAAGGATATCGTCAGCGCCAAGGCTTCTGGCGCCCGCCCCAGCAGCGCCGCTACTGCCCGTTCTCGCAAGGCTTAAATCGCTGGCTAGAATGCGCAGTTACAGGTCCCACTCATGGATCGATTTCACCAGAACGCTGTAAAGCGCCTTCCTGGCTCCAGATTCGTCCACCGACAGCCATTGCTGGCTGAGGTCCTACCGCTCGTGGCGAATTTATGACGACGAGGATGTCATGCCTATGGAGGCACATGGCCCCGGATCACTTACCGGACGATGCCTTCGGCACGATCCACCTCGACTAAAGATATTGTAATGATGGCCTCTTGATTCAATCACGGGAGTTATGAATGGGGGAACAAAAACAAGAGACGGCATGGGCCCGGAAAACTAATGACGACGTATACTTGGGGTAACAGGCTGCCAATCGATGACAAACATCTCGGTTTCGTGGCTGGCACGGGTTAAAGGAATGCGTCTATCTCATGACACTAATGGGCAGACAAAAAGATCATGTATGACTGGGATTCTTTTTTGGTTGGCAACCCTTCTTACCCCCTTCCCCTCTTTAGACGAGAGCAGCTTGGGTGGGGGCTACTGGATATTCTAAACCGGTTCGCCAACTGGGCAATTTGGGGTTGCTCTTGGGCTTTTGGAGGCTGGCAATGATGGATGGGCTTTGGACAGTCCGGCTCGACACACGTTTGGGTCGTCCGACTTCTTCCTCTACTTCTACTCTTTTCTTCCGCTGTCTTATACTTTTCTTCATCTTGTAATCCCTTTGCACCATGTATTATGCACGCGCGGACGGAGGAAGCAAGCCCATGGACGAGTCGGATCAAACCAGCCCAGAAAGAGACATGCTGAGCATACGGACCTTAAACCTACATAGAAAACATAATGCTATTGTTATTGTACAAAAAAAAAGCCGGTATCTACGATTCAGCATCGCTTGCAACAAACTGTCATTTGTCGATTTTGCGGATCGTTGTTTCATATGGATGGGGACCTGACCGGACTGCTCCTTCTTCAGACTGGCAAAATATCATCCCCTCGAAACCATCGTCTTGCCCACCACCTCGTTGCGCTACACAGTTGTGATGTGTTGGGCCGCGTTTACGCTATGGGCAACACATGATTTACACTGGCAATAGGCCTCGGTTTGCCCTCGGATTAATGGTTTTGGTGGACAGTTAGGGCATTGCTCTTAATTTTGTATGCTAGACTCACCGGTGCGGCACGTCTCATGCCCTACGGGAGGCGGAAGTAGACGTTAAAAATAACAAAAAAAAAAAAACAAAGCTACACAGTTGTGACACAAGAAGCCTTGTAGATCAACAGCAGTTCATCCGATATAACCCAAAATATTTCCCCAAGCGCGGTTTCTACGGGGTACGCATTTTCTTTGCGAAAACATTCGGCCAGCTTGTCGTCGGCCACCCGGCTACTGCCAGCCCAATGAGAGGGGAGGTGGGGCCGTGCGCCGGGAATGAAGCGGGACGGCACGCGAACCGACTTATGACGGGATAAGTGGGCCTACCAACGGAGGTAAGCCGATCATGAGGTGGGTCTGCCGTCCGACGAGCTGACCTCCGGGATTTCGTTACATAGGTATTCATACAACGACACTACTCGAGTTGCCATGAATGCTTGACTGGAGTTTTCATACATATGATTGCTTGACGGAATCTGGGGTTTTGGCTTTGAGATAAGTGGTTCTCGTTTGGTAGCTGGTCCCATTTCCCACCCACATATGAAAAGAAGAGGAATGGTATGAGTCTCATTCATCTGCTCCCATTGCTACAGGTCTTTAGATGACAGAAAGGTCTTGCTTCCAAACCCTTATATGGTTACCTGTGTGTAAAAGATCATGCCCCGCACATAGGTTTCTTGGAATAGAGCCCATTTTCTCATAGGGAGATGGCAATCGACCTTTCAATTTGCAAAACCTGCTGTTAGGGATCAGCATATGTACCTGGGGATGTACCAATATCACGTAGGTGGAAGACTTTGGGTTGAAGCCCCAATAAATGACGCTGGCGAGCCACGTACCGTAGAGGACAAATTGACCAGAGATGATTCCAGATATGTTTTGTGGCATCCAGAATAAAACTACCTGAGTGGTATTTCCGGGACCCACCTTTAGACACCTCCGCGCGCCAAAGTGACCGGCTCCTTACGGACCGCTCGACTTTAGACCTTGACGAAACGTCCTTCTCCAGCATCCCACCGCATTGCAGCTGGACCGGAAGGCTGCCGCACCTCAACATTGATAATATTCGCCTTGGCCGGATCAAGCCCGCACATGGCCAAAATGACCTTGACCGAGGGTGGTTCGTTGTTGACATCGCCCACCCAGCCAATTCTACCCTTCTCGCCCACGGGGCCGTATGCCACCGCCGCCTGCCGCCCGACCTTTTCAGGATCCCAGCCACTAAGGCCTTGGGCAAGCAACGCAGCGATGCCCATGCCATCGCCCACCTCGCTGAGGTCGGGAACATACCACCTGTGCTCGATCTTCACGCCCGACAGGCACAGCGACTTGGCGCTGTAGGCAGCCTTTAGGCTCTTCTTGTCGCTGAGGTCCAAGTGCTTGCCGTCGCGGATCCCGTCGGCCTTTGGGTTCAGCACAACAACGTCGCGCTGGTAGTTGCCGCACTTCCAGTCGGGCAGGCCCGAGACACCAAATAACTCATCCAAGTCGTCAGGGAGGCCAAACGACGCAACTTGGCCGGTGAGCACGGCGGTGGCGTCAGTGCGGCGCATGTAGGCGAGACATTGTTCCCAGAGGGGAAGGTTCTCGGGAAGGGTGAGGGCGGCGTCGGTCAGGACGAGGGCGGAGTACGGCTCAGCATCCTCCTTGGTGAGGAGACGGGTGAGCGTGGCAGCCTTCTTGACGCGCTGGACAAGGGCCAGGTCGAGCATGGGAGTCAGGAATACGTTGATGAGGTCGTCGAAGGACTCTAGATATTCGAGCGAGATGACGAGGATGCGGGGCTTTGGCGCCTCTTCGGCGGCGTCCAGGTCGATGATATCAGCCATGGCTGGAGTTGAAGTTCAGGAGAATGCCCAAAAACTCAGGAAGAAAGATAGATTGGGAGAGAGCGGCGTGGTTGCGCCTTGAAAGCTGAATCCTGCGCAAGTCGCTAAAGTCTTTGGGCGGCGAGTGAAACGCTTTTTAATACCGAGTGGCTGCATGCGGGGCCAACATATTGATATCAGAGTCAGCTTCTGAAGGCAACATTCGTTTTGCGCAAAAGACGGGGAATTTGTTAAAGGTCTGCAAGAGGGACTCACCTATCAAGCACCAAGACCGCAGCCTAGAAGCTTCGTTTTTGGGAAGGTACAACGGATTCGTGACGTTACGAAGATATTTTGCGGCAGAAGTTGCGATTAAGGTTATGCCTGCATTAGGCTGCATTGGCCTGAGCTCCTGCATCTGCCCACGTTGGAGCATTGCAAATCATGGAGTAGGTAGTCTTTGTTTCTGTTCTTACTTTGTGTGTCTGGAAGAATATGAAGCTTATCAAACTTTATACCGGCTGGTGAATATACCCACAAGTTGGTGTTTGCTCTTTAAGAAACCACGGATGGGTACTTTCCGTAGGGCAGAGAGGGCTTTGAAACTCCTGGGTGGCTGCATAAAATGCACAAGCGCGCTGTGGGGTCCGGTTACACAGCGTTCTTAAGACGGCCAAAGCCCAAGAGTCCAAGACTGCTTGAAAATTGTAACACAGCAGCTGTCAACCCCAGCTTGTTAAGACATTGGACTCCCTTCCCAAACAACTTGTCTATATAAGAGTCTTCATCATCAGATTCATGGTGCCCATCCAAGAACAAGAACGAAACAACTAACAGCAAAGGCCTCCTATACTTTGACTTGTCGATTGTCATGATCTTTTAAGGCCTTTTGCGTGTTGGAGAAAGCCTCACCCAAGAACCACGCTAACGAATCACACTCAACAATTGGATTCGTGTACAGGATCCGGGATTGGGGCCAAAAGGATTCAGGAACCACAGGAACCGCCAGGAACGCGTTCATCTGAAGTTGCATCGGCCCCCGCATTTGACTGCATTCCCATATAATTTCCCCCCAATCGATCTGTCTCAGTAACTTCCGCAGACCGAAGAGACAACTTCGGTGAATCCAACCATATCAGGTAGGTGGAAGTCCATTTGTACTGAGTGTCGATAGCTTACTGTGGTACATTTGGTTCAAACCTCCACTCATCTACCTGTCTCCGTTTCCCGAATCCCATCTTCCTTCCTCCTCTGAGCTCTCGGGCTCCTCTCATGAGTGAGAGTGAGACCCCATAATTACACCTAGCCCACACCTAGCCCACCCCTTCTTCCATGGGTAATGGGGCAGGAACCCATGGGTTCCCATGGTCTCCATTGCCCCATCCCCATGAAAATAAATATCGATGGTGCTATCGTCGTCCGATTCCAGGCAAATACCCATACGGTTTACGATCTCTCCAAATCTCATTTTAAAATCTCACTGTCCCCAGATTTCTGCAAGTCGCACACCTAGAGATCGATCCATACTGAAATTTATCCATTATTTCATATAATTATAATTTTCCATAATTACCGCTATTTCAATGGTCAGTGCACAGGTTCGTGCCCCAGGCACTTAGAGCCTGCGGCGGCCTTCTGCTGCTGGATCTAGCGTCCTTCAGTGCCCAAAATATGAGTCCTGGCGGCCAACCTTAAAAAATGCGACCATATTTCACATAATTACCGGTAATTATAGTAATTACCGCTAGTGAGATAATGAGGATGGACCACTACGCACACCAACAGAAGAAAACGGAGATGGAGATGGAGACGGGAACGGAGACGGGGGACCTTGAGGGTTAGTGGAGTTGGCTTCCCGGAACATGTCGGATGTAAGAGTTACCTTTTCGAGGTCTGCTCGAAACGAGAGAAGGATGAAACAAAATTGTTTCCTGAATCGCGTTTTGAGATAACGGAGCAACAGTATCCATCTGGTCTTTACGATATCTGAGTTTTTGGCATTTGATGTGGTTCTACGGCGTTCGTGCATTTCTCCATCCTTCTTGCTCTCAGCCGTCAAGTGCCTGGATGGAAGCGACGGGTGACCTGAAATTCTGCAAACCATAATTCATCCCCCAATGTGACATCGTAAACCCCGAAGCTACTTATGTAGCTGCCGGCCAGCAGTTCATGCACTGTCAAAAATGCAGTAAGAGAATATCCCGACGACGCGTGCGCAATGAAAGAGCTGGGCAGGGGGAATGCAACGAAAGGAAGTGAAGCCAAGACCCCCCAAGGGGTTTCATTGAGACCGGTCGTTCGCAGCACTTGCCCTACGGAACTATTATCTCCGCACCATCCCTACCACTGATTCGCTTCGCTAGGTTACCCGGTGTGGCATGAAGAAAATAATGAAAGAATGAATAATGCAAAAGTGGATGATATTGGACAGCAAAGATGGGTGACATTCAGTGGCAGGCCGGCATGATCGATCTCAATGTGCAAGTTCGGTAGAGATCTGGTTTCATGAATCTCGCAAAAAAGCAAACGCAATGGCACATTCACTATAGCAAAGTCATGGTAGCGATTGACAGTGAGATCTGTGTATGTTGTTGTTTTGGCATACGAATGCCTGTCTTTCAATTTGATTGAAGCCATCTGTGTAAGACGGAAAGTAGGTAATAATGTGGAGAATATGCCTGAAGAAAGTAGGAACAAACAGAAGCGCCCTGTGGTATCATAACATTCGTAAAAACAAAACAAGAGCAACAAAAGAACTGATGTTGCGTGACGAGAACCTCCCATGTCCCAGAAACTCCCAAGATGTGAAAAAAGTCAAAATAACCGCCGGCCTGCTGCTGCTGAAACATACTTGCGCGCAGCCATGATAGATCGAGTTTCCTCCCACTCTGCTCCAATGTGTGTGATGTGTGTGTGTGTATGTGTGTGTCTAAGTCATTCCTGTCCTCGTCCTCTTTTGCGTATTAAGCTCCCTGAGACAATTAACCCCGTCTCCCGTGTGTGCGTGTGCGTGTATGCGTCTGTAGTGGAAAGTGTGTTGCCCGCTCCTCAAGCTTTCAAAACGCCATGCCGCTTGCAATATGCCGTGAAAAATATCAAGTGTGTATGGTTTGGTTTGATACATGCTCAGCGCGTATCGTGTCGCTTTATGCGGAGATGTTGATCCTCCCCGTCAGCTTGATGCTCTTGCGCCTTGCGGCAAACCCGCTCAAAAGTCCCCTCCTGGGCGCGCTGGTTGGGGAAAGAGGAGAAATGGGCGAAGCACACTCCTCGGGACAGTGATGAAGGCTGCGATGATGGGGATGGTCCAAATGGCGAGGACATTCTGAAGTTCTTTCTTGATGACTTGTCAGAGGTTGCTGGGGAACCCGGTACAACAAGCTGCTCTGGAGCCTCCTCGGAAAGAGGAGTGGTCACAGAGAGAGGCATCATGCTGCTACGGGATGGTGGTGGCCTCATAGAGTGTCTTGAGGGAGGCGGTGTGGTGCGCTCCTGCGGTGGCTGGGGGCTCGCCAGCGCCGGACGGCTCCTCTTCCTGACGAGGCTGAAGGTCCTCGTAACTCCCTTCAACAGAGTCATGGTTGGTGTCCTCGGTGATCTCGCCGGGCTTGTTGCCTCCTCTGGAGTACCGGCTCTGGGAACATCCAGCGAGTAGGAGCTGCCGTTTGCGAACGGGTCAACGTTGAGGAACTGAGGCTTCCTCATGGGCATCATGTCGATGGGAAGACTGCTTTTCCTCTCGGGAAGCGCAAAAGCTGACATGGGGCTGGCTGGTGTGATGGTCCGCTCAATGGGGATGTTGCAGGACACTGTGCTTGACCGCTTCCTCATGTGCCCTAGGCTCGGAGCTGCGGAACCCCTCCTGAGGGTGGTGAGGTCGACGATCGAGGGCCTGCCAGAAAAGATAACCGAAACAACACGAGCGGTGTCTTCACGGCTGCCTCGTCGGGATGTCGGTGTGGCGGTAGTGGCTTCCTTCTCGTTGGTGGACTCGTAGCCATAGTCGGAGAGGCTGTCGGTGTCTGAGGAAGCATCCTCCTCAGAAGAGAGATAGACGTCGCCGAGTGGGGACGGCTTTTCCAACTCGGCAGTCTCAACCGTCCCACTCATCTTGAGCTGAACCAAGCTGTCAAGCAACCTCGAAGCCCTCAGAGCACTCTTCTGGGGCAATGCCGGAACAGACTCCTCCTCCTTCTGCTCTACCGCCTTGGTATCCACCACCTCATGGAATTCGTGGTACATTGTGCTGTCGCAAGATGGGTTCCGTGTGTAGATCTGGGCGGTTGTGTTATCGGATGTATGGGTCTCTGAGATGGTTGTTGTAAGATTTGATATGCTTTCCCTGACCGGGAGGGACTGTGTTTCTGTCGACATGGTGTAGCTGGTGAAGGGATTCTGGGTGAAGAGAGCAAAGTAGTGAGTGTTGAAGCCCTGGGGAAGGGCCGGCTCAAGTAGATATTAGAAAGCTAGTGAGTCTTTTGTGTGTGCTGCACTGGCTTGGCGTCGTACTATTCTGATGGAGGAAATGGGGAGGAGCAACGAGGAACGGCAGAGGGATCCACGAGGGTGGGCAGATGTTATTTTAATGAGACCCAGTTCTGCATGGGGTCATTACGCTTGTCAAGACCTGGTCAGGACCTGACGGGGGTGGTGTGCTGGGGATGGTGCTGGGGTACAGGCGCAGGCCAGACGAGACGAGACAAGTCAACCTGGCATGCCGCCGTCCTCTGTCCTCCGTCACACAACGTGGAAGCCGTGCCAGCCGTGGTAGCCGTCCGGACGGTGGCATGGTGTGGTTATGGTGGTGGGTGGTCGCATTTCAGATTAACGGTGGGCAACAAAACCCCCAAAACGGTCCCGTCAGAGGAGAGACAGGAAGAAGACAGGAGGTTGGCTTTGGATGCTGCACCTGTCGACGTGCATACAGCAGCAGCTACCTACAGTCAACAGATCGTCTAGCGTCACCGCACGTCTTCGATCGCATGCATCCCAATGCATGACACTGGACTGGACAGAGCGACGGGTTCTTGAATTTTGTTCCATCCATCACACACACCACTTTTCTAGCTTCTGGTGGTTGCATTTTCACACCATCTCCAGTTCCTTGGTGTCTCGCGTTTTTCCCCTGGGGCCGGCGTCGCAACAGGAATGAGCTCCAATGAAGGGGGCTTGCAAAGATGACCGGGATCAGAGGGCAGTCCGGTCAGGAAAGAAGCAAAAAAACTCTGAGCCCCCGTCCCGAAATCTCTCTGCACGCCCATCCATTCCTTCAGTATTCAGGAAATCTTCCAGCACCAAGCTCCCAATCCTCATCAATAAGCTTATCGACGGCCGAGCACTGTAGGGGAGGCGGAGGGGGGCACGGTCAGCCATCTAATTCAAGTTTAATGAGGACCCCGAGGACAATCGGATATGACCATGGCATCGACAGAGATGATGGGAATCAAGAAGCGCTATTTTGGTGATCAGAACAGTGATAAAGACTTGCGTTTCAAGTTAACCGGACTGTCGAGTCCACTTTCCCATCCGAACGCTCAGCTTTTGGACGTGGAGCCCTTGTCTTTCAATGCCTTGTCGTTCTCCAGGCTTCCAGCTTTTCGAGCTTCGTTTCGAGGGGTTTCCGCTAGTGTTTTTACGCCATCTTTTTTAGCGCTGCAAAAATGCAAAGACTTTCACACATTTCCCACACCACCACGGTCACCACCACACTTCTTGCCCCTCATCGACCAGGGATTGGGGTTTTGCGCTTCACATAGTTTTTATCTTCTCGGCGGTCACCTGGATGGATACGGGCTGGGCATCCGTTCATCTGCACACTCACCGTCGTCGTGACCAAAGCTTCACAAGAAGGAGCCGAGAAATCCTGAAATCCGAGTACCCCTATGACACTGGCACGCAGTACTGTACAGGTTATCTAGTGTTTCCAAAAGCCAAGTTCATTGCAGAAACGGCACAACCACCATAGCAATCTACGGAACCAAAACGGCGGCTCTGGTTCTCATCACAAGCCTCATATCAGTGGCTTCGGGTCCCTTCACGCCTTGGCTGCCCCAACGGGCAAAGACGAACAGGCCCAAGAACATGAGTGGAGAGGACTAGCCAGGGGCCTGAGACCCCTTCGACCAGGGTCTTCCATTGGTAAGATTGGCCGCCATGGGGGTCTCAGACTGGGAACGCCAAGGCATCTGTGATTGGATTTTCCATCTCGACATCGCCGGCGGCGGCAGCAATGACCTGTCCGTTTGATTGGAGCATTTGTTCTCGCTGGTGTCTGCTCACTCGTCTGCTGCGTAGTAGTTTTGGCAGTGTGGGAGACCATTCTTTGACATCGTCTGGATCTTCTAAACTTTGAACTCGGACGATGCTGCCGAACGTTGTTCTTAAACTCTTGGTATTGCAAAATCATTGGCTAACGGAGATATGAACAGAAGGCGCACTTGTAACTCCAAAGGGCAACACTCCGGAAGATCGTATTATTGTCAGTTACAAGTAAAACCCGACGGTTCTGAAGACTCATTCGAGAGTATATCATTCCGAAATCCAGAACGCCAAAACTGATATATCGACTCGACATTTCCCGACACTGTCTCAACTGTGTTGTCGCCCACCGCTTCATCCCAGAGATGCCTTACCCAACCGTCGGGACTTGATTGCAGCAGCACCATCGGACTCAGCATTCCTTCCTTCAAGCTTGCAAACCCTAAAGCTTTCGCCTTCGGCTTTCGACCCTGAATCTCTGAACAAAACCGAGCATCGCGTGGTTGAAATCTTTTGCCGTGCATCACCCGTCTGTCGCGACAACCGCCAGTGGCGCCTTCCTTCTGGTCCAATCATCGTCCAGATGGACTCATTCTCTCTATTGAAACCACCTCCACCACCTATCTCTAGTATCCCAACGTGACCATCTCTACCTCTAATACGGAACTCGGCCATGTTTGATGCACTCGCTGTCATGCCCATCATGTTGGCATCTCGCAAATGACCCGCTATTGTCTGATCACCGTGGAGTAGCGAATTGCTAAGGGGTTTTTGCTGATGGCGATCACCGTTAAGATCAAGATCCTCCTTATCCCAACCTTCTCCTTCCCCAGCCCGCCCAAAAGGAGAGTGGCTCAAGTGGCTCAAGAGGCTCAGCCGGCCCAAGGGGTTCGCGTTCCTGTGCAGAGCTGCCAACAACAGGCACCGGCATAAGGATTGAAGTCCCGAGTTATGCCTAAGCCATGGTCCGTAGGCGACTAGTTAACCAACTTCGATATGCGGCGCTCTTGCTCATCTCCCCAAAGCATATAGAGAAAAGGCGGTCATGATTTCGAAAAAGATGTTTGTCATCGCCTCAAATCTGAGTTGTGGACGCTGTACAACCCGAGATGTGATCACAGTTATCGTCAGCCAAAAACGTCCCCAGCGAACGGTGACACTCAAACAAAAACGGAGGACGGGAGAAATCCGGGGGACGACGGATTGTTGCTGAATCTGACAGTGCCTGCTGCATGGTGTTACCTGGAAACTCATGCTTGTCCTTCAATCAGGACATTCAGCTCGACATACTCCAAACTCCAACTTTGATCTTTTTTAAAACTCGCCATCTCCATCTTGCAATGTCGATCGGGATGGATACCTCCCGACGATGACAATGTGCCCCTGCTGTCCTCCCCGCGCAGAGGGATCTCCGGAGACATGTTCTGCACATCGGTATGTCCTTTTGGTATTCTGAAAACAATAATATCTTTATTTCAGTTCAGGATTCCCCGCAAGCGCACATCCTACGAGGGTTCACGATCTCGATGTTTCCGCAGTTACCAGGAAGGAGGGTTGTGTTTTAGGTGTGGGCAACCTTATCTGCCTCTCGTTTTTCATCCTCCTTTATTTTTTTCGGATTCAGGGGATACCGAGTCGGGATTCTCAGTGTCCAGGTACACTACACCCGTGGGTTGCCATGAGGAACTCCTGAACGTTGTGGTTTGATACACTCCCGGGTCCGGCGCGAATCTGCGACAATTTTGACACACAAAACACCACGGTAGGTAGACGAGCACCGGGTTCTCGAGAGCCCTCTGAGCCTGCGGTACCAGAAGTACCTATCGCCGCGGCACTTTTGAGGTTGTACAGGATATGCGGGCGGACGGGTTACACCAAAGACTTTCTACCATTTGATTGCGAACCAAGGAGCTCTCCTCTGGGCATCTGCGACAACTCCAATGGCATTCAAGCCAATTCTCGGGCCAGTTATGTTGACGGGCGCTCCCTGTATCACATACATGGTACCGTAACCATCAGCTCAATATCATCGTCTAGGTATCTAGGTAGGTAGGTATAGTACCTAGGTACCGTGACCTGGTAGCTATAGAAGATAAGAACTTCAATCGTGACGTTTACTGGAATATCTCGTCGTCACAATGGGACTATCTTTCAGTCATCTTCGAAGCAGGATTGCGTCAAACGGTGCTCGCCGCTCACGGTTTTCATCAAGGTGATTGAGAAATCTTGTTTTGAGGGATGGCTGGTATGTATTTTTCATAGGTAGATGTGACGAAGAGAAACCGATTTTTCCCTGATAAGATGACCACTCGCAGAATTCCACAATCCAACGTAGGTATATCACTTCGTCTTAATGCTCGCTTTGATGCGGGATGGAATCATTGAGGGCAGCGATCTCACCCTCACCGCATTCCTGTGATCCTGTCACCGAAGTTTGGTGGTTCAATGGCTGGCTGCCCTGGTGTGAACACCCAGCCCGTCTGAACATCAGGACGGGAAGTGTCGCGGTTCATCTTTATGGCGTCATCCCCTCGCTTTCACGCAGGCACTCGCTGTCGAACCCCGACTCCCCGCTGTCGGGTGGACTGCCCCTGTGGAGAGAGACGACAGGCCGCTGAACGAGCCCGCTCTTGCCCGCCCCAGGCCGCCGTAAGGGTCTGGCATGTTGCGTTCGTCTCCACTGCCAGCGGGTGGCCCAAGCTGCACGAATTGTCACTTCCCCAAAAATGTTACCCCACCTGTTAAGCTTCTCCCGAAAGAAAAGTGGCTATCCCTAGAATGACTTAGCTTCTTTCTCTGCTTGGAGAAGCGAAAGGTGGGGTAAGAAATGCTCCTAAAAAGTGTTTCTCGGGGCCCCGTCGTGGCCCCCGACCGCTCCGACAGCCCCGGTCCCCGACCCGTGCAAGTGTCCGTGCTCTGGCCGGTTGGTCCGGTGCACCGAGTTACCGGGACCCTGGGCTTTAGCCGACGTTTTGTGGGTCTCGTTTCGCTGAAGTTGGGTTGAAGGTAGGTAGGTAGTTTCAACTTCACTCTGTCGGCCATCAAAACTCCAGCATGACGGAGCATGAAAAGAACGACATCAATAACTTGATCGAGGCAAAATCTGGTCGTTACACAATGCTGTCGTCCTGCTCAAAATACGTGATTAGTGAGCTTTGGCTGTGCTACGAACGTACAAAATATACACCAGTTTCACAGTTTCACCTCCCCGACCCCACTATATAACCCGCGGCGTAGAACATCAATGGAAGATGGAACGCCTGCCATACATATGGATATGAATCACTCACGGAACCTGTCACAGGCTCACACCAGCCAGCCAGCCAGCCATCCAGCCATCCACTCTTGGCTTACGCATGGCAAGCATGGTTCAAGACTTCCCATGGACCCAGCCCTGCGGAACAGCAGCAGCCCATTGAAACGGATTCAAACGAGAAACTTTTCCGCGAACAACTGACCAGGCGAAGCGAGGCGAGTGAGCATGGTGCGGGCCGCTCGCTCGCTCGTCGGCCGGCTGGCGGGCTGGGCGAGATACCCAGACCTGGAACCTAAAATCAGAGAAACGAGTCAGACAATCCTTGATAACCTACCGCCAGGACGGTCAAAGTTAACACTAAAGGGTCACCGCTTTTGCGGCTGTGATGCGATGCGAGGATCGTTGAGGCGGATCTAGTTAAGGATTCTAGGATTCTAGGCTGGGCTGGGCTGGGTCGGCTGGGAGGGACCGGGACCCGGGGAAGCCAAGAAAGTGGGAAGAGTTCTCCAAACTAACGGTGACGCCGGTAGAGGCGGTGTGTGTGTTAAACCTTGACCAAGTATGACACACCTTAGTGTTCTAGGACACCGCTTTCAACGACTTTTGAAGAGTTTTCACTTTCTCACCGTTTTTGTTTCTTGCGTGTTCCGTTTTCTCGTTCGTTTTACTAGTACTAGTGTACGCAAAGTTTTTACTCGGTTTTTTCTGGAAGGCTGGACCTGAGGAGTAGCCACACTATACTCGAGCTATAGCTCATCGTGAGCTACTAAGTAAAGCCGGAGGTCGGCATCCGGTTACTCCGGCTTACACCTCTTGCAACCTCTTCAAGTTGCACACGCACACGCATAGTAGTATTAACGTTGTCCAAGATTATACATACCAAGAGAAGTCTTTCCAACTAGGGGAAATAGTCTCTTTCTCTATTCTGCCTATGTTACAACAACGTGGTGTGGCATCACAAACCCCAAAACTGAGTGTTACGCCGCGAGCTTGAGACATTCGAACCAACCGGCAACCGGCTGCGTAATCTTCCAGTTTGACGTTACTCAAAGTTCGAATTAGAGACATTGGAGTGAAACCTGCCGAGTTTTCTAGGACGCGGAGACACACACGATACGCAGACGTGCATTGCAAGAGACATCCCGAGTCGGAACTGAGTTTTATCACTGGCTGAAAGAAATATGGACGGGGACTCGGACCTCCGAGGGGGGTTAAAGCTTTGAGAAGGACGGAAGAGGCGGACATAACAACGAGTGCTGCATGTCGACGGGCGTAGTGCTAGATACTAACACACAAAGATTCCAGAAAGGTAAGGAGCATATTGGAATAGGCGAACTGTGAAAAGGCGCAGAAATACGGAAACCATGCCTGAGCAAAACAGCTTGGCATGACTCAAGTTGGCATGATGTTTGAGTTTGGAAGTCATTGGTGATTTAAGGAAGGAGCAATCATATAGAGATGAGAGTATAGAAGGCACGCTGTTAAAACCGACAATCTGCCCAACCACAGCAGGAGTTGCTAACTGTCCATATTTGTCATGCTCGTTTGTTCCTGCCAATGCTCGTCAATGTCTCGAAGAGACCGTGATAGGAAACTACGACTTGGTCACGGGAGAAATAAGTCGTCGAATGAAATTTGAAGGGCCAAGCACAAAGGAACAGGTGGTTTCTCGTTCAGATGCATCAGAAATTATTTCCTTGATGAATTCCTCAGTTGGAACTCTTTGATAGGCATGGTCGAGGGACCTAGGGGACATATAGAATGTTGAACTTTTGACCAAGTGTTGTAGGAGCTCCTGTAGAGCCAGATTCCATATTCCATGTACACTAAGTACTGGATAATTAACACGCGGGCCATGATATCTACATGAGTGAAAGAAAGAGAAACAAGACAATTAACAAAAGAAGAGCTACTTACCTATTTATGCCACTTTCCAAACAATACTCCGTCTTCTTCAAGTTCCCTGAAGTAATCACACACACACTCAACTAAAACAACTTCGCTGCTTAGGAAGTTCAATCTCAACCACCAACGGCCACGGCGACGGCCCCCTCCCTCTTCAACCGGCAGACCCAAAGCAGCATTAACAAACAACGTATTTCTCCTCGGCCTCAACCTCAAGTTCACCCAATGCTCATAATGCCTATCAGTATAAATCCGACACAACCCGCCATCCTTCCTGGACTCCGTGTCGTCGATCCTTTTGTCTAGGTCCGTGATGTCTCTCACCTGCCCATTACTATTTCCCTTTCCCTTCTCCTTTCCCTTTTCCTTTCCCTTTTCCTTTCCCTTCTCCTTCTCCTTCTCCATCCCCGTCCCCACTCTCCACATCCCTGAAATATCGATTGTGACAGGTTCCTCATGATCAATATCCGTAAAGTGACTCGCCATCATCGGCCGTCCATCGACACCATCCCTTGTTAATCCATCCCGCCACTGGACCAACCTAGCCCCCCATCCTGCATAGACAGTGTTTCCAAAACAGTGCAGCTTAGGTCTGCACATCGCCACTGCGGCAAAAAGATCAGGACATCCAATTTTATTCCCTTTCCCTTTCCCTGAAGCAGAGGTAGAAGCAGGGACAGGGACAGGGACATCATGATCAAGAATTCCCAAAGGTGGACCACGGGTAATCATCACATTGGCGGTATACCTAATATCAAACGGTGGATGTCCCTGGGCTTTGGTGTATTGAAACCCACCTCCACGTCCACATCCTAAGCCTGTCTCTTTTCCCTTTCCCTTTTCAACAGTGGCAGTTCCAGTTGCAGAAGTTCCAGAGATTTCAGAAGTTCCAGAGGTTTCAGAAGTTCCAGAGGTTTCAGAAGTTCCAGAGGTTTCAGAAGTTCCAGAGGTTTCAGAAGTTCCAGTTCCAGTTCCAGTTCCATTCTCAACAGATCCAGATCCAGATCTCTCCCCATCCAAGTCATCTCCAGGCTTCGACGAAAGTGTCCAAGGTGAAGCATACACCGCCAAAACAGCGTGGTTCGCCAGGGCAAATTCCCATCTTCCTTCATTCGCCATCAAAAAAATCCCATGCTGCCTCGCCTTTTCAGACAACAAGAGCTGACGAGCCTGCCCCGGCCTGCCGTATTCGGCGTACAGGGCCTCCATATCCCTTGGTAACAGGGCCCCAGTCCCGCCTTTTTTCTTATTAGTGTTGCTGGCTTCGGTAATTCTGGCTTCGTACGCGGCGTCGTCTAGAGTCCAGTCGTTGGGTCCGGGGATGATTAGTTTCAGGGGAACGGTGTTGAGACTCGAGAGAAGGGCGAGGGCGGTGGTGAACTCGGCGAGTTTGGAGTCGTAGGTGAGGTTGCCGCAGTGGATGAGGACGTCGATGCTGTTTGGTAAGGAGGCGGGCGGGTGAGGCGAGACATTGTCGTAGGTGTCGGAGATGATGAGGAAGCGGGTTGGGATCTCGGATTGGTCGAGTATTGGAACCATCTTATGAAGCTTCGTTACGAGCAGGTGGAAATTTGGCTGCTGGGCTAAACGGTTCGAGGATAGAAAGCAAACTGATAAGTGTTGATGAAGGCCAGATAGAGCTGCAGAATGAGTTTGCAGATGGGACCAAACCACAAAAAAAAAGCCTTTGTAGTAGAGATCAAATATGGGTCTTCGAACAATGCTTGCTTGAAGGTTGGAACAGAACCTTTTAAGTATTCCTACTAGGTGGATGCATTGTTTTGTGTAAACAAACGAAGAGATGTAGAACATAGGTCAGTGATTACCTGACGAGCAAGTGCAGGGGGAGCTACGAGACACTTACACCAGCAGACCTACCATATCAATCTCGAGCCCGCCTTCTGCTAACATCGAAAAGGCAAAAGCGGCAGCCGGGACACAATGTGCTTGGAGGAAGGGGCGAGATAAATCATTTACTAGACTTTCGAGATATCACCGTAAACCATTAAAACGACAGATGCGATTCCCATTTCAACCTGGTTCTTATTAATCACCTCATTTACCGTTCCCGTAAACACTTGTCTACCGACACCCCTAATATTCCTCTTTATCAGACAGCCCAGCATGTTGCTCAACTTCCACCTTGACTAGTCGTGATAAGCAAGAAAGCCGCCTGATGCCCCTAGATTCCAGCTCATGGGGCACCACAGTCCAGTTGCCGTTCCTACTTCAGACTCAAACTACCGCCATAAATCCAGCTTCTCATTCTTCTTCACCCCAGCACTGCTCTTCGGCCTAGGCCACAACTCCTCATCCCCACCGCCGCCACCACCACCACCACCACCAAACCCACCAGTACCCCTATCCACACTGCCTCCTCTATTTCTGGCAGGATCTTCAGCCGGCAAGGCCAAAAAGCCACCGCCAGCACCCGCACCACCGATCAACACGCTTCTTCGCGCACCACCACCGCTGCCCCAGGCAGCCGCGTTCCCGCCCATGAGATCTGCGCCCAGCCCATAGCCGCTCTGCGGTCTCTCACCTGTGCCAGAGTATCCGCCGCCGCGACCACCAGAGGACATTACCGGTCCAGCACCACCGCCGACCTTTGCAAAGGACCAGGTGGTATCGTCGTCGCCTTTGGTGAACACCTCGAGCTTGGCAGGGAGGTTGGCAAAGCTGCCTGGTCCTGCGGGGGCTGCCAAGTTGGCGAAGGGGTTATTGCTGCTAAAGCGATGGTTGGTAGGCGGTTGTTTGCCTCCTCCCGGTCCTAGGAAGCCCGAGAAGCTGTTGACGGACGATACGGAGCCAAATTGACGATGGCCGGGCACAAAGGGCGCGCTGGGAGGAGCAAAGCTTGATAGACTGCCTTGGTGTTGATGGAAGCCACTGCCGGGAGAGGCAGACATGCTACCCATGCCCCTGTGAGGTGAGAAGTTGCGGTTTGAGCCACTGCTAGAAGGGCGTTGCATGCCGGCTCCGGCAAAGCCGGGGGAAGGTGGAGGGAGGCCGAGTAAGAGGTCAGGGAAGTTCGGGTCTCGCACATAGAGTGCTTGTAAGTTTGGTAGTCCGCCCGTCAGCAAGGAGGCAGCCAGAAAGCTGTAATAGCTCGCCGTAATACCGGAGTACTTGGGAACCGACGAGTGTGCGGTAATCTCGTAGTGTAGAGTGTGGATACTTGTTGAGGCAAGAGTCTGTGCAAAGTATTGACCTTGGGCGGCCGGCACGGCTTGGGCGACAGTGTCGATCACGGAAAGGTGCTTGAGCTTTGGAGCATAAGGCAAGAACTCCTGTAATGCCCAAGGGAATACGCCTGTACCGTTCAAGGTAATCACTCGTAGGTTGCTTTGCGCGTTCGGGTCTACTAACCAGCCCCTCAAGCCTTCTGTGGTGACATTGGGAACATTGGTGAGGATAAGCTCCTCAAGAGGGGGAAACGGGGGCAGCATGTCGTTCCAGGCCAAAGTCTCGTCGGTGATGCAGGTCGTGTCGGTAATCTTCAGGGCGCGCAAGTTACCCAAGCAACCAAGCACTTGGCGTAGCATTGCCGGGTCAACTTCTATGCGTACCAGCTCCAAGACCTCCAGGTTAGGCCATACTTTTCCAGTGGCCAGCATCTGCAGACTGTGCTCCGCACCGTTCATATATGTCATCTTTCGTAGGTGAAGACATCTAGCCTGTACCTCGAGCCGAAGTGTCATAAACGACGGTTCATCCGAGAATAGGCCTTCAGGAAGGTCGACGTATTTGAGGTTGGGCGTCACGGCTATCGTCCGCGCCAGATCGGCCTGGCAGGATTCGCGGAGCATATAAGGCGTCTTGAAGTATTCCACAATCCTTCCTAGCCGTACGGGATCCTCGCGGAGAGTGCGACAGAGCAGTTTGAGGCGCGCCTGTGCCGTATCCTCCGGCTCTCCATTGCGATCAAATCGGGTTTTGCGCTTGCGTAATTCGGCTAACTCTGCCTCGCGGTCGCAGTAATGGACCTGGTCGATGCGGATGCTATAGTATCTGTTCAAGTAGTCACCGCGTCAGTTTTTTTTCGACCACAACGGCAGCAGAGACCGAGAGAGTCTAGACGTACAGAATGTTGGCGCCCCCCTTCCTCCACCTCTTGCACACGGCGAGACAATGCGCCAGATCGCGCAAGTCGCACAGCATGCAAGCATCTTCGATCGAGCTGGCTTCACAAGTCTCGTAGCTCGTGTCCCTGCTATGGGGGCATACAAATGTGAATATGCGTTCGAGGATCGGGGCGGGGAGGTTCGCTAGAGTCATGGCAGACGCCCGCGTCGCCATGGAGCGGTACTGAGAAGCCCATGGTCCGTTCGAATCGTTCCGGCCGTGACCGTAGGAGGGATATGGGTTTCGAGAGCCGTCGTCGAGGCCAGCGCCCAAGGCTGGCCTGTTGGGGCTGTAACCAAAGCCCGGCAGGGCGGCTGCTATGGCCGAGCCACCGCCGCTGGCCTTCCGCTTGTCTTTATTACGCCTGAAGAACTTCATGTTGTTGCGGACCTGGGGATACAATGTCCGACACGTCGTGGGATGGAGATTCCGAAAAAAGAGCAAGTAGGAGAAAAGAGAGAAGAAACAAAGGAAGGGCGGGACGAGAAGTGAGCCCCAGAAGAGGGGTGTCGCGTGGTTGATAATTGCTTTTCGAAATCCTCCGGGGACTCGTCGGGTGCTGGATACTATGGTAAGGGGCGGCTGCCGCCCTGGGAGAAGCGACGATCCAAACCCTGGGTAGGGTCGAAATATCGTTGGGTTGGTGGTACCTGGATGGCGATCGCAAGAGTGGTTGATGTTAGGTTGCAGGGGCGCGAGCCCGGCCACTGTTGTCAAGGGGAGCGAGGGGGAGTTGTCGAGGGGGGCCTGGGGAGATTCCGCGTTGGGGCGTGAATGCAGGCTGTGCCGCTGTTGCTGCTACCCCTAGCGTGGAGCCGTTTAATACCCCGGCCAACTAGCACCGACCGATAGCTTCGCGTGTTTCGTTTCACCAATGCCCAGAGTGGGATTGTGCAAAGTCCTGTTTGCTAATTGCGGCGTCTCGTGGGAATGTGTTGAATATAACGAATGCGCAGATGTCGTCCACTCCTACAACTAGGGAATCAGTCAAGATGGTGAAAGTAGTACTAGCAGACAACGTACCTAGAGGGTTAAGGCAGGCAGGGCCCAGGTTTTGAAGCAACGCACGATACAGCCGGTAGATATACGTGGTCTGTGGTGTACCATACCAGACAACGTCCAAGGTCGCACGGGACTTGATGTGCTTGCTGAAAGGAACGTGTTTGCACGTCGTGACCGAAAGGTGTTGCAACGCTCAAGCAGGTCAAATAACCGTTCCTCCCGAGTCCCATCTGTGAGGACTAAAGAATAGTTGGTGCGTCATCAGAAACAGATGGGAGTCGAAGCAGTAAAGACGAGCGGGACTGGAGTTATCAACATTTTCAAAGCACAAAGCTCGCATGGAACTGAACGCCTCATCTCAGCCGCCAAGCAACCGTC